TTCCCATTTCCATTTCACTCTTGTAATTCTACTGACAAGACAACCTGCCTAATGATGCTTCAAACCAACTTCTTTCTAGTGGATTCCACTGCCCCATATGGTGTGGAAAAAAAGGGGGGGGGGGGGGGGTGTGGGGGGATAAACCCACAAGCCTCTTAACAATCATGTTGTAAAACACAACTAATTAGGGGTTTTCTTAGAAGCTGGAGTACATCTGCCTGAGAGGAGAGGAACCAACAGTCTGCATACAAATAAGCGTTTGGACTTTAAGCCACTATAGTGACTCTTCATAGAGACACTCTAATATTGTTTCTTTTGCTGGGAAAACGTATTTGTATGAATAAGTTTTGAGAAACTAGAATTAGCCACACAAAGTCTTTTTGTTTTTGAAGTTCAGCATGCTGTTTGCGTCACCTTCTGATTTGTTTTAGATATTTATGTGATTTTTCCAAACCAAATGATAATTTGTAACCCTTTGAAAATAAAGTTTGTTCGTTCGTTCGTTCATACTGCTCTGTTGTTGATAAATCTCAGCCAGATGGTGACAACAGACTTGATTTAATGACTGATAATGCAAGTGACAAACCTAGTGGCGATAACGTAGGTTAGAATGACGTTGAACAAAATATTTTCGGATCATATCTGTTTCGATCAGCTGTTTTCCCAATTTCGGTTCTTGTGAAATCTGACATACAAAAATGGTCATAACATCCAAAGTATTTTTTTTTTAAATGTGTCAAATAAAGACCAGCTGACATTTAACTAAACAGAGAAGGCTTGCGAATTCTTAGAATTGGATAGCAGTGTTGCTGAACAAGTAAAAATTAAGGTAAACTCACAATTTTTGTGTGTTCACAATTTTTGTGTGTAAACAATCTTCATATGTATCTAACATCCTTGAATGTTGTGTGGTTGGAATACTTTTTGTTGTTGTTTGTAACACTGACACTTAAACAGTTTAGATCTCTCATTTTTCTTGAATTTGATAAATTATATGTCTCTATACAGCAACACGTTTTCTTCACGATGGTTTTAACTTTATCATGTGGCTGCAAAAAAATACCGCTCAAAATGAATGCTGTCCAAACACCGGAAAAAATGTGGTCTTGAAAGAGTTAACTGAAATCTCAATAAAACAGTCTTTACTTTTGATTAAATGAGATCAGAAAATAATTTCATAACATTGCAACTTCCACTATTCTTGTCAGAAACTAAATCTTAAACTAATGTGAGAATATTATATCTTTCATTCTTTCTTTGCAATGAAATACAAAAATTCAAATTACTCTTTAATTAATCTTCTTCTTTTCGCTACTCCTGGAATGCCTCGCAGTATCAGGGCAGGAAAAGATCTCTGGAACACACACTTCTATTTGCTTCATACACAGTATCTTTCAGTGTCTCTGATATTTCTGCGGTTCATATTCTGCATGGTCGACCTTTGAGTCTGTTACTATTGTATCTGTAAAACACTGCTCTCTGTGGTGCCTTGTCTGTACCAGTCTTGTTATATGGCCAAACCATGTAATTTATCGAATTCATTTTTTAATTAATGTTTCTAAATATGATTTATATGATATGTTTAAGTACTTGGGTACCCTGATGGCAGCAGACAGATGTAGTATTCATCATCAATCAGCAAGTCCTTTACAGAATGTTGTTCCCTTCATGGCATGCCTGAAAATATCCCATTCCCTAGCCAGTTCTCTGGCTCCATGTGCTTTCAATACCAATGCTTCTTCAATGTCCTGTATCCATCTTCGCAGTGGTCGACCCCTGCCTCGCCTTCCACAAACTGTCCCTCCATCGTCGTCTTTTCCAAGTCGCCATATCGATTGCTGTGGCCAAAATACTTAAACTTTCGGGATAGGATGCTGTTTATGAGCCAGTTCACCTTATTGTTCAACTCGTTTAGAATATTGATTTTTTCCTCTTTTTGATTCATGGTATTCTAAGAATTTTTCTATAACATTTCAATTCAAAAGCTCCAATCTTTTTCCTCAGTGACTGACTGAGAGTCGATGACTCTCAACTTAAGTTGCCACAGGAAAAATGCATGATCTCAAGATTTTTACTTAAACCAATTTACTAGTTAGTGCTTTGCCATAGGTTCTTCAGGCTGTTTAATCTCTGCATTGCTTATGCAAGTCTTCTTCTAAATTTTTTCGAGCAGTTGCCACTGTTGTTCACTAAAGAGAACAAGTATTTGAAATCTGTAGCATTTTCTATTTCTTCATTTTCAATTGGATATGTGGTTGGTGTGCTGTATTTACTGAGGACACAATTGGATATGTGGTTGGTGTGCTGTATTTACTGAGGACACAATTGGATATGTGGTTGGTGTGCTGTATTTACTGAGGACACAATTGGATATGTGGTTGGTGTGCTGTATTTACTGAGGACACAATTGGATATGTGGTTGGTGTGCTGTATTTACTGAGGACACAATTGGATATGTGGTTGGTGTGCTGTATTTACTGAGGACACAATTGGATATGTGGTTGGTGTGCTGTATTTACTGAGGACACAATTGGATATGTGGTTGGTGTGCTGTATTTACTGAGGACACAATTGGATTTGTGGTTGGTGTGCTGTATTTACTGAGGACACAGTTGGATATGTGGTTGGTGTGCTGTATTTACTGAGGACACAATTGGATATGTGGTTGGTGTGCTGTATTTACTGAGGACACAATTTGTTCCTTCTAATAAATTCAGAAAAAGATTCACTTCTTTGCTGTGCTTTTTGACAGCCTAGATTATTTTTCTAAACCTTGTACACTGCTGTGTCGTCTGGAAATCTGAGTTCTGGGATAGGATTACCTCCAATATTTAGTGGATCAAAGATCTCAGAACATTTTCAGCACATATGTTAGAGAGAGAAGGAGAAAGAATGAAGCCCTGTCTCACGCCTTTCTGCACTTTCTGATGTATTAAAGAACTTAAATGTAGAATAGCTCAAGCAAAAACAGCATTTTACAAAACTAAGAATATTATATGCAATCTGTCTTTGTCAACTGAGATGAGAAAGAGAATTCTTAAGAGATGTATATATCCTATTTTGATATATGGAAGTGAATCATGGATGTGGCAGAAAAGTACTGTTATAGGTGAATGATGAGAATACCCTGGATTAATAGAAAGGCTAAAGAAGATGTCTTGACAAAACTAACTCACGAAGAGAACTTAATGCCCACATTAGAAGGAGATAATTTCAATTCTTGAGTCATGTCATGAGAAGGAAACAACTGGAGTACATCATGGCGGTAGGAAATCTGGATGTGAAAAAAGGCAGAGGAAGACTGAGCAATAAAATGCTGGACTGATTGAAAGTATACGAGGCAGAGGGTTGTGGATAGGCATGGCTTCTTCTTTTGTCAATATCTGCTTATGCCACAGTTCATCAGGTCATCAGCAGCCGAACCAGGCCCCACTCAGTCGCTTGATGTGCCATGATAGGCATGACTCATCATCATCAGGTGCCTTGCCCACTGGCGAGGGCGATCATGCCTCTCCACAATCTGCGATCTCCTGCAGCATGTATCAGATTGTGTGCTGACACACCTCCATGCCATGCATCAAGACTGTCAAGAATCTTCTCTCGTTGTCTTCCTCTATCCCTCCTTCCACAGATCTTTCCAGAGGTCACCACATGTTCCATTTTCTCTCTTCTCATAGCATGGCCATCGGCTCTGTGGCTAAGTCGATGCGAACGCTTCGTAATGTCGGGGTGCCGGGCTCGATCCCAACTGCGGGCCATGCGCCTTGCGTTGGTTTTGGCAGTGGTATCAGGGAGCCAACCGTCTAGAAAGAAATGGCAAACTACTGGACGTAAATTTGCCTAGAGAAACCACACAACAGCCAGGGGCTGCTGGGGTTGGTTCTGCAACGTCCTGTAAAGGTTACGCAACTAACCATAACATGGTCAAAAAATGATGACTGTTTCCTTCTGATGTCTGTGATAAGTTGTCTTCGGGCTCCCCCTCTTTCAAAACCTCTTGGTTGCACGACTACCAACACCAAATAAACTATAAGAAGAAGAAGAACCCCAGAAACCCAGTTCAACTGTATAACACAGCTGCCTGAGGGAAGCAAAGTAACCTGCTGTCCAATACATGTGTGTAGCTCAGATGGAACTCATGTCTGAACATTAACAGATATGTCTTAACAGTAGTGATGCTAAATATGTAGCCTGACAATGCAATACTGCAGCCATCTGTGCGACAGCAAATCAGACATACATTCTACTTCACATTCGGTGCAGAAAATCAAATTCATGAACAGTGTTTTATAAACAAGGGTGACTGCAGCTGAGCTGGTATCAAGAAGTAATTCAAAACAACAACAGAAACTATAATTTGAAAGCTCAATAAAGGAAAAGTGCACAAATACAACCAAAAGGAGGAGCAAAAATACTAGTTTCAATGTTGATCTTGTTGGTGATTTATAAATCTGTTGTTTTATTTACTGATAAAGACTCTGGTCAAAATGTTAGGTTGCATTCTTCTTCTTCTGGCTTCTATCCGCCAATGGAGCATAGACTCCCAACCAATTCACGCCAAGTCGTTCTATCCACTACTGCATTTGGGGTGCACATCCCATGTTCTCCCATCTGTTTAATTTCACTCTCCACCTTTCATCTCCATGTGTGTTTTTTTTTTTTCTCTATTTATTCCCCTGCCCTTGTGGGTTCCTGTGCAAAGACATTCTCAGGTTTTCTCAATGTGTGTCCTATCCAACACCAGCTTAGTGTGTGTATTTTTTATTTCCCCCAGCTGAGCTTTCTTGTTAGTTTCTATTGTTTAGTTACACTGATTTGTAGCCTAGCTGTATATACAAGAAAACATCACAGCTCCAGAAATATTATTTGCTTCCACCTGATAAATGAGCCGGATTGGGGAAAGGGGTGGGGGTTGGGGGGTAGATAATTGCCAGTACTGGTATTCACAATCATTAGGGAGAAAAAAAAAATGGTATCCAAAAAGTTCGGCTGGGTTCTGTTTACTCTTGACCTGTTGAATCTTGACTTGACTGACCTCTCACTATGTTTCGCCCTGGAAGAAGAAAGAATGTTTCGACCATTTTAACACTTTCAGTACCAAGCAGCTCACTGTAAGTTACTGATTACTTTTTACATGATACACTTTGCTTAACTCTTTCGCCCCAGGAACACTAGAAAAATGGGTCATAAATCTGTTGGAACTTCATAAAAAAAATCCTTTAAAAAAGCAATAATAAGGTCACTAATAAATTTGTGAAAAATGTGTTTATCTAAATTTTTTCTTGAAATATATAAAAATATATGCAGTGAGTAATCAATAAACATGAACAGGGTGAAGCATTAAATGGAACACATTTCCTAGGGCCTCAAAACATATGTATTGGGTAACTCATGCTGTGACCTCATGACCTCTATCACTGAGGCTTATGTGGAAATTTTACATCAATTTGGCTTTTAAAAAGTTATCTGGCTCAAAGACTTCCCCTCCCCTGACCCCCAATTGCTATTTTTATTTCATGTATTCATATCCTGTCGGCGTCTGTGGCTTAAGTGTTGCAAACGCGCCTCGTAATACCAGGTTTTTGGGTTCGATTCCAGCTGTGGGCCTTGCGCCTTGCATTAGTTTCAACAGTGGTATCGAGAAGCTGACCGTCCGGAAAGCAATGGCAATCTACTGGACAACAGCCAAAAAAAATACTGGGGTTGGTTCTGCAACGTCCTGTAAAGGATACGCAACTAACTTTAACTGTTTTCATATTCATATCCTAGCATCATATACCTAATGTGCCACTGTGATGAAAAGGGCCCTTTACTTTACTTCCTCTTTTAACGCCAGTGGTGTGGTGGGTCGGGCATCTGAAGCTAGACTCATCTTTGTAAAATGCAGTCACCATTTGATGGGTGTTGTGGTTAAAATCTGCCAGCCACCTTGACTTTCCCTATCAATTTAAGGCTGGGTCAATCTGGGAGACATGGTTAAGTAACTACTCAGTGTGTATTCAAACCCAGACCTTCCAGCTGGCAGAATGAACGAATCAAGAACTAACATCACTGCCCTCAGCACATTTCCACATATGCTCTGTCATCTTTTAACATGCTAATAGTTCCAGTGGCAACCTGAATAAACGTCTGCCTGTTTCCCTGTCAGTTTTGCTTTTCAGAACCTATATCCCCCTCCCTTCCCTCCCCTTTGCGACTGAATATCTGTTATACTGCCATGTCCATTTGATTCCAGAGAGCCTTCACCACAATTGCTTTACAACAAAGTAGCTCATCGCCCAGAAGAGATGGTAGCAGTCAATCTATCAGCCTGGTCATTACCCCGCACACCCGAATATCTAGCCACTGACCGAGCACAAATTCAGACAGGATGATGTTTCTTTATTCATCATAAGCCCCTGTTTGTTAGCCACCAGGATCAAGACCTATACAATAGTAAGACAGTTGCACATCTTATAAAGTCTCAAATCAACCGCAGCATTTGTTGGCTGTTTGTGTGGTTTTACTAGGCAAATCACATGATTTAAACAAAATTTGAACCAATGTCTCCCAAGAGAGAGGCTAGTTTTCTAACACCTTGGCCAGGTGCCTATAATAAAAACAAACTAAATATTAAATATGTCTGCCAACCTGTACGTATCTGTGACAATGAAGCCAAGATTCTCAACATAAAGGCAGCTGGCACTGTGACCGTGTCTCTGGTCTCTTCCAACATCAGTTCATTTCGTTTGATGATCTGCAGACAGAAGGTGTGTTATGAGATGAAATGTACAATAGCCAACACAACATTTTAGAACGAAACTCTGAGTATTTAAATAATGCAGACACTAGCAATACATTGCACAATTTATTGCCTGGCATATTTCGCTGTATCTCATCAGCAGCATTACTACAGAGGAAGCAACATTCCATTAGCTAAAATTCTGTGCATAATATATCTGTCAGTCTGAGTTATTTTTTTTTTTTTTTTTTTTTTTACGTATCCAGAAACCATGAGTTGTAAACCCTTTGGCTCGGTACTATGGATATCGCAACCCTTCGGCCTTGATTCCATTATAGGTACCGTTAATCTGGGAGAGATGTGGCTTTTCTGCCTACCCCCGGGAGTGAACCCGGACCACAAGGAGTTCGTCACCCGGCCGCCGCGAAAGTCAGGTTTAACCAACTTCGCTAGAGAGCCGGGCGTCTGAGTTATTAAGAGTTGTATAATGCCAATCGTGTTACAGAGGTGAAAACATGGAAAATGAACCCTTTAAGTGGATAATTAAGATCCAATTGCGGCATGTGTCAAGCACATGTTGGTGGGTTAAGGTGGGGTAGCAGGTTATAGTATACTGCTTGTAGAATGTGAGCCAAGAACCAGAACACCCAAAAGGAGAATGCTTTTAACAAGTGAAGTCAACTCTAACGAACACAACAGTGTAAGCCACATGTTTATAACTCATCCTACCATATAAACATCAGTCATATTAAATTGAGGGTAGATATATAACTTTCTCTTTGAGATGTAATTGGCCAGGGTTGATATATAAATTTCATCCACCTATAAATTTCCATTTTTATCCACTTATAAGGTTAACCCACTGACTATCGTTAACTCTTGCACTTTCCCAGATACCATGTATTTTAGTGTGCACTAAAAATGCCATAGCTTCCCAACTATTTAACATAAACTTATATTTTTTATTTTTTTTCACCAAACTGAATGAAGAACCAATTTCAAAAACAAGAACTGTGTAATCTTGTTTGACATCATAATCATTCATGTGGCTGTAGACTGGTGCAAAAAAATGCAACCAAAAAATCTTTTTTCTGCTAGCAATATATAAACTTAAAAAAAAAAAATAGCTTCACAACCATTTAACATAAACCCACAATTTTTGCCACCATTATCAAATCAATAATTTATGTGCCATCAACATTTAAGCTCATTAAAAAATTTGTGGACAATTTACTTTGAACACTAACAAATTTTTTTCTCGTCAAGAACCATAGAAAAATGAATGGACTAATGGTTACTATATCTATTGCAAAAGTCTAAATCTGAGCATGGCGGTAAACGTCCAAAGTTACGATCGCAGGGGGAGTGATCATGGTAGCCAGGTGTAAACATCAGCAGATCGCATAATGTGCTTTCACTGTAGTCTGCTGGTTAATATTTTTAGTAAAATATTGTTTAGAGGCTGCTGAGAAGAATGAAACCAACATTTACCAATTTCCAACATAAAACAAATATTAACATAATCTAACATAAAACCAACACTGAAAAATATCCAACATAAAGCCAACATTACGGGGAAGGCCAACCCTGGTAAAAATGCCTCAAGAAATTGGAAGTCTCAGTTGAAAGATACAAATACTGCAAGCATGCTGTAACCGAGCACAAGACAGTTACGTCCTTGGATGAATGCAGAAAATAAAGGGGAAAATCAACACAGACAATCTCCAATATTACCAACTTACCAGCATTAACAATATCCAACATTACCAACTTACCATCTCAGCCTTATCCTCATCAAACTGAGACTCTTCCTCCAGAGGACTCCAGATCTTAATGTCGTAGTCGATCCCACTAGAGGCAATCACTGAGGAGACACATACATTTATTTTTAACCTTTCAACTCATGAACATTGCTATAATCAACTCATGAACATTGCTATAATCAACTCATGAACATTGCTATAATCAACTCATGAACACTGCTATAATCAACTCATGAGCACTGCTATAATCAACTCATGAACATTGCTATAATCAACTCATGAACACTGCTATAATCAACTCATGAACACTGCTATAATCAACTCATGAACATTGCTATAATCAACTCATGAACATTGCTATAATCAACTCATGAACACTGCTATAATCAACTCATGAACATTGCTATAATCAACTCATGAACATTGCTATAATCAACTCATGAACACTGCTATAATCAACTCATGAGCACTGCTATAATCAACTCATGAACATTGCTATAATCAACTCATGAGCACTGCTATAATCAACTCATGAACATTGCTATAATCAACTCATGAACACTGCTATAATCAACTCATGAACATTGCTATAATCAACTCATGAACACTGCTATAATCAACTCATGAACACTGCTATAATCAACTCATGAACACTGCTATAATCAACTCATGAGCACTGCTATAATCAACTCATGAACACTGCTATAATCAACTCATGAACATTGCTATAATCAACTCATGAACACTGCTATAATCAACTCATGAACATTGTTATAATCAACTCATGAACATTGCTATAATCAACCACAGAACATCCCTGTGTTGGTTCCAAGGCCGCACTTTGAGGAGGAAAAAAATAGACCCACTGCCCCCCAACAAGTCTGTCGTAAAAGTTGACTAATTAGCGGTGTCTCCTTTGACGTTGGAGTGTATCTGCTTGATAAGCAAGGAACCAAAAGTCTGCTTTCAAATAAACCTGAACTGTATAAAGGATGTGCACACAAAACTCAAGTTTTGAAATCAGACTCAAGTCCAGAAGTGGATTAACAACCAGAACTTTCCAGCTGAGTTTATGCGAAGAAAAAGAATAAATTAATATTGCTATAATCAATCACTGAACATTGCTATAACCAATCACTAAGAAAATGAGCAAGCTGATTGGCTTGCAGGTAAAGCTGCTGTGGAGGGCAGACAGGCCACGAACCAGTCTTATATTCTGAATATTCTATGAGAAGTAAGACGTTTGCCACAATCAAGTGATGACTGTGAATCTACAAAAATAACCAGACAACAAGATATACATGTTAAAAGAGGTTTGGCCCGACAAGAGCATTATGCAGGAAGACAAAGAAGGATAAGAAACCAACACAGAACTGGTGTCATGAGCCGCTACATGCTGTGGGTTTCACTAAGGAGGGGATTCAAGCACTTATGGGCTATATGGTTTGACATGCAATAAGGATAATCTGTCGACTAACTAACTAATTGAGCATAGCTATACTCAATCACTGAACATAGCTATAACCAATCACTGCCCCTATCTATAATCAGTCACTGAATATTGCTATAATCAATCATTCAGTGACTTATTATAGCTATAATCAATCACTTACCATTGTTAAAATCAATTACTGAACACAGCTAACATCTAAAGTAACACCAAGACATCGATGAACAGCAGTCTCATAGAAGGTAAAACTAGTGAGAGACAGTGCCAGAGATCCATTGCAACCAACTAGTATAAATGGCACCTGTTTGACTGTTGTGTACCTTAATGCAGTACAAAGGACCTTATCTCATGGGCTGATGTGTACTTTATGCAGACTTATTCTCACCTGGAACAAACAAGTTGGGCTGCACACAGTTGACCACATGTCTGTCAGCATCCAGGTACATGACCAATCGACCTGTCTCCCGATCCCAGGCAAGTATCCGACCACAGTCCGACCCAGACATCACAAAATGGTCACCATAAAAATTGGCCTCTTTAATCTTGGAATTAAAGAATAATCACCACCAATAAAAGCTTCAAACACATTTATTTTTATTACCAGTTTAAATCAGTGTTAAAAATATTTATGACTTTTCAACAATTGCTCAGCTACAAAAATGCACATGCACACACAAAAATATATTTGTAATACATATATGTGTGTATCTATGTATGTATGTATGTATGTATGTGTGTGTGTGTGTGTGTGTGTGTGCGCACGCACGCACGGACACACACACACCCGCGTGCGCACACACACACAATTACATAGATGGCTTTTGCACAGTGTAAAGGACCTAATCTCACCTATATATATATATATATATATATATAAATACACACACATCTTACCATTGTGCGACAGTTGCGATGCCCTGAATATTTCATGAGCAATCTAGGTTGAGGGACATCCAACAGTTTAGCTTTCTCTTTGGCTTCCCGTTTCTTACGATACATCTCTTGAATCTTCTGAGCTGCCAGGCTCATCCGGTCTTTCTCAGCTTTGGCTCTGAAACAGCAGAGGACACAGAAATATCAGAACTGAAGATAAGGACTCTTTTAGCTGTGTCAGAAGACCACAGTAAAGGACTCTTTTAGCTGTGTCAGAAGACCACAGTAAAGGACTCTTTTAGCTGTGTCAGAAGACCACAGTAAAGGACTCTTTTAGCTGTGTCAGAAGACCACAGTAAAGGACTCTTTTAGCTGTGTCAGAAGACCACAGTAAAGGACTCTTTTAGCTGTGTCAGAAGACCACAGTAAAGGACTCTTTTAGCTGTGTCAGAAGACCACAGTAAAGGACTCTTTTAGCTGTGTCAGAAGACCACAGTAAAGGACTCTTTTAGCTGTGTCAGAAGACCACAGTAAAGGACTCTTTTAGCTGTGTCAGAAGACCACAGTAAAGGACTCTTTTAGCTGTGTCAGAAGACCACAGTAAAGGACTCTTTTAGCTGTGTCAGAAGACCACAGTAAAGGACTCTTTTAGCTGTGTCAGAAGACCACAGTAAAGGACTCTTTTAGCTGTGTCAGAAGACCACAGTAACAGACTAATTGAGTAAATAATAAGTAGAGTAAAGGATCCTTTTTCACATCGGTTGGCATATTAGCAGGCGTATAGGGCATATGATGATAGACATCATATAAAATCATTAAGTGGCTTGCCAACTGTGGTCATGCCTCTCCACAAACTGCAAAATTCAACAGCATGCATCAGTTATTGTGCTGTCATCCCTTAATGCCATGACAAAAGGCTGCCAAGAATTGTCTCAGGTTGTCTTCCAGTCTCTTTTTCAACAGATCTTTCCAGTGATCAAAAGATGTTACAAACTGAACAAACTCACAATATAATCCTCCCCTAAAATGTCCTGTTCTGCTGAATCCACACTTACAGAATCCACATAACCTTACACATGTCTCATCTAACACCATATCTTCTATCAGCTTGTGTTCATATGTAGCCTACAAAATGTCTGCCTTATCCATTAGGAGTGTTTCTATGGCTACTGTTTTTAAACACAATCTTCTCATACATTTGCCTCACATTCCTGTATGTCCTGGACAGCATACCCATTAGGACCTCATAACAAAAGAAGTTCTCTGTAGGGTTCTAAAGCCCAATTTTTGGGTTAAAAAAAAAAGAATAGATCCACTGCTCCTTAACAAGCATGCCATATAAGGCAAATAATTAGAGGTTTGCTAAAATCATTTTTGTTGGGTGGAAAGACAGATAACATAAAAAAAAAAAAAAATTTTTTAAACAGTTGTGTATCCTTTACAGGACGTTGCAGAACCAACCCCAGTATTTAATGGTTGTGTGGTTTTTCTAAATTTTACACTCGGTAGCTTGCCACTGCTTTCTGAATGATCAGCTCTCGGTGCCACTGTCAAAACCAGTGCAAGACAAAACGTCCGCAGCAGGGATCGAACCGAGCACCCCTGCATTACAAAGTGTGTTTGCAATGCCTAAGCCACAGACGCCAACGATATTACAGCTTAGCTGTAAACCACATCAAGACATGGCACCACATAGGGCAATGTTATAAAGATACCACAGTAACAGATCCAGAGGTTGACCACACAGAATATGGACTGCAGAATTATCAGACACTGAAAAGTGTTTTATACGAAGCGAACCAAAGGGCGCTTTCCAGAGATCTATTCCTGCCCTTATGCGGGGAGGCATTCCAGCAGTAGAGAAAATAAGAAAGAAGAAGTAAACCACAACACAATGTGCCACAATTCCTTTTAAGAGTTAACACAGAGGAAAAAAGTAGAAAGAGAAGAACACAAATCAAAACAAGATAAACATTACTTCTGACGACGTCTAGACTGCTCCTCATCCTCTTCATCGTCACTGAAGCTGTCAATATCGTGGAGTTGGAAGTTGCCAGTTGGAGGCAGACTGTAACCAATCCTTCTATGCCGTTCACAACCTGGTCAACAACAACAACAAAACTAAAGGAGAGTAAAGTAATGGACCCTTTTATAGTGATAGGACCCATATTGATCAAACAATCAGGTGCCGTCTCCACAATGAAGGTTGGCTGCAATAGATCTCCAACAAACTCTGTCTCTTGTCCTGATTATGCACTCTCTCAGATTGCTGTTTGTCCACCTCTTGATGTTGTCCTTCCACTTGTATCACTGCCAACCTCTTATTCTCTTGCCTTCCAATTTTCCCTCTAGTGTGATTTTTAGAAAGTGTGTTATGTCTTTTAATGTGGCCAAAGTATTTCAAATGTCTTTTCATTCCTAGTCTTTTCAGAACCTCTGTACTGGACTGTGTTTAAATTAAATGTGATCTATTCTTCTGCATATCTACATTTTTAGAGACTCAATTTGATTGCTTACAGAGGTAGACCTATATTTTCATTGACCAATCGGCACTCAATTAGTGATGTGATCAACATCAAGCTGACCACCTCTACTTCCAATGACATTAACTTATCTGGTACCCATCTGAAGCTGGGCTGACCTGGGCAACGGAGTAACTAACTAAATTTACCTGATATTCTCTGTGATAAAATCCTTACCGGTCTAGTCTTTCTTCTGCCCTTTACACTCTAATGGAGCATAGGCAGTCAACCAACTCATGCCAAGTCGTCCTATCCTTTACAACCAGCCTATTTTAGACAGTGATATGTAAGGTGATGAGGTTTGTTCATTCCTGGTTATGTTCACTTCCTAGAGAAAGTTTTTAGCACATTCTGGTTTCCACCTAAATTATGCTGGGTCAGCCCCAGAGTTGTTCTGTTCTCATCAGAAATATTATGCTATTTCCGAAGACTAAATGCGGAACACTGTTTTGACAGGCAAATGTGCTAGCGACTATACCACCATGGTTACCAATAACTTAAAGTTGGTTGTCATGATACTGACATCACCTTTCGAGCACCAACTGGCCTATAAAATATAAAACTAGTAGCACAATACAGTCCATGAGATGACAAAGAGTCTGCACTTGATCTTGAGTTAGCTCCCGTACATCACTCAGCAAATAAGTTCTGTTTCCTTCCTATTTTCCCCCTCTCCGGGCAAGTCTGACTATCCATTAGTCTGGTGTAACATGCAGCCCTGTGTGGGATAGGATTGGAACTGTTCAAACAAAACAAATGTAAGCTACTAAACCAGTAAGAACTTCGGCTTCTTCCTTCCTCCATTTTCCTCATTTTTTTTGGGGGGGGAGGGGGGGAAGGAGATATAAGGGTCTTTGGTGTGCTCCTTCTAATGCACAGTGTTAATCTGGTCTTCATGTCTAGAAGGTTTTATCTGATGCCACTGTTCCACTTTCTGCATGGTCTTCATGTCTAGAAGGTTTTATCTGATGCCACTGTTCCACTTTCTGCATGGTCTTCATGACTAGAAGGTTATATCTGATGCCACTGTTCCACTTTCTGCATGGTCTTCATGTCTAGAAGGTTATATCTGATGCCACTGTTCCACTTTCTGCATGGTCTTCCCTTTGCTATGTGTTCACTATATTTCTCCAATGAGCTAGACAACATCAAGGCTATTCTAAGTAAACATAGACATGATACAATCAAGGTGATTACAACATTTTGACCACTGGATCTTTTCTATTCATTTTTTCCTCCTAGAAGAGGGTCCTGAAATCCATAAAAGGATCATCCTCATCATTATCAATTTCCTGCAGACACCCCATTTGCCATGTTTGTGTGCTGACACCCTTCTATGCTATGTTTGTGTGCTGACACCCCTCTATGCCATGTTTGTGTGCTGACACCCCTCTATGCCATGTTTGTGTGCTGACACCCCTCTATGCCACATTTGTGTGCTGACACCCCTCTATGCCATGTTTGTGTGCTGACACCCCTCTATGCTACATTTGTGTGCTGACACCCCTCTATGCCATGTTTGTGTGCTGACACCCCTCTATGCCATGTTTGTTTTTTTCCCATAATTTTTCCAGCTGTCACTGGTTAGACAATGAACATTTTGATTAGCAAGCAGATGTCACCACACCTATAAGCCACTTCAAAGTTTTTTTAAAGGACCCCTATCATCAGTGGCATATCAGGCATATGATGCAGATTCAAACTTAAGACCTTTGGGCTTGCAAACATCTAGTTACTATGCCACCCTGCTTGATACAAAATAAATAAATGCCATTCCAATAGAAATATGTGCAAGCTACACCCAATACCTCACCCTAAAGATCTTTGTATCCATTTAAGTAAATCAATTCTAACAGTTACCTCTGCACTTACCCATCAACACTGGAGTACAGGCTATTTGTAACCATCAAGTTGCCTAAAATAACTGTGTTAGATGACCGATCTCCCTATAAAAGAATGATGAGAGCACAATGGGGAGATCAAAACAAAAGGCAGATTTCTTGGAAATGTGTGTTGGTTTACCAATCAAGAGAGCTGATGACCTGCATCAGAAGGAGACAATGTATATTCTGTAGACACAGAGTGACAAGGGAATAGCCTAGCTCTCCTAGCTGGAGGGGATGAGAAGCAGAGGAAAACCAAGGAAGAATTTAGTCTGGCATCATGGCAGGGAAGAGTATATGTGTCAGAAATGACTGACAGTAGATAAGACAGAAGCTGTAGACAAAATGATTACCAATGATACAAGCATGGACTATAGGAGGATGCTAACAGTAAAGACAATTAAAATGCAAAGGATTATTTCTGTATGTCAACGGTGCATCAGGTATATGGTGCTGGACTCATATTTTTTATAGATTATTCGGCACTTGACCTGTGATGGGGTCAACATAATGCTGGCTGCCTTTACTTTCCAAGATATTATCAGGTACCCATTTTGGCCTGGGTTGACCTGGGAGCAAAGTCAATTTTGGTGAGGATTTGTATCCAAGACCGGGCCAGTAAACCAGTATCTAGCTACTACGCTACCACTGCTACCACAACAAAATTAAAACTCTAAAAACTGTTGAAACAATTTGGTGAATTACTATTAAACAATAATGACCTTTGGAATCGGTTCCATGGGAAAATTTGCTAGACATGGAGTCCATTGCCTGAAAAGAAGTAAGTCGATTTGCCACACCTGATGTCGATGCTTCCGACGGTGCCATGGTGACCATGTCAGCTGTTGAGCTCTCGGAACTTAGTCCTTGGTCACAAATTACAGCCCTATGATTTGCACTTCTAGAAGATGCAGCAGAGTCTGGATCAGCATTAGATGTAATTATCATCCTCCCACTGTTATAAGGAGCAAAACTTGACGCTTTTTCATTTGCTTGAAATTTCATGGTGGACTTACCAATACCTTTACCCTTAGCAGTGTTCTGCTGGCCTACATAACTACTCAAAGGTGTGTCTGTGTGTGAAAGAACTGAATCTGATTCAACATGATGCATAGTTTGTGATGTTTTTCCTGCTACACATCCCGGCTGTTCAACATGATCATGTTGTGAGGCACCTATGCCCATGCTGATGCCATCTTCATCTGCTTGTTGCAAGTCTGTCACCTGAAGGTGGTCTGACTGCTCCTGTCTGAGGCAAGTAAGACATCGTTCTGAAACAACATTCCTCTTCTGGATATCAATATCTTCAATTCTTTCACCAATGTCCTCCCCACAGCAAGTGCACTTACCAGGAAAGGCTGGTGGTGTTTTAGTCAATCTGGAACTCTTTGATGGATAGAAACCAAAAATTGGTCTGGACGGATGTGTACTATTGTTTGGCATAAGGGAGGCTTGTGCCCCAGATGGGACTCTTTGTTGATAATTGCATGAGCTGAGGTCTAAAGTACATGATTTACCATTTTCTGCACCTGAAGATGGGTCTGCCTTCATATCGTCACTGTTTGATTTAATCATGGTCTCTGTTGAGCCCTCAATTAATTCATGCTTGCTTTTTTCAAAAGCTGATTGATCTGGGCTGTTCTGCCTTTTATTGGATAAAGAAATCGGATAACGTGTCGAGTCACAGATATTGCTATAGACAGAAGGGTTTTGACCAGACTCGACACGGCAACGAACAGATGACCCATCAATGAAGGAAGGACAAACACTGGTTTGAAGATTTTGTAAAGTTTTCTCGTGGGTAGCATCAGAAAGTCTACACTGAGGACTATTGAGAACATCCTCTGGTGAAACAACAGTGCTCTCTGACCAAGATGTACTCACTGAATTAAAGGAAGATGTTTCACTTGACGACGCTGACATCTGAGCCAGATCAACTGTGTCTAAACCAAGTGGTCGTCCTAAACATTCCAAAGGTGTATCCATGCTGTCTTTTTTATTTCCAATTTCAGATAATTCAACTAAGACTGTGTTGTGTGAGCTAGTATCTTCAGTTTCCATTGCCATGTGGGAATTGTCAAGAACTGGTACTGCATTTTGATATGAAGCACCATATATTAGAGACTGTTCTGAAGGTTCAGCCATTCCTGGTGATACTGACTTGATATGTAGACTTGTGGACATCTGATCAGATATTGAGTCATTGCTCTCAGATTTAGGGTCCATACAAACAGATGCCTCTCCCTGCTGGAGCTTTATACCTTCAGAAGAAGAATCAGGCACAGCACCATCATTAGCTAACGATATATTAGCTTCATGGGAAACACCACCAGGGACTGTTGAATAAAACATGAAATAACTTTGCTGATCTGTATCCATATCCAGCTGGACGTCTGGATCACAGTTTGAAAGCAAGTCTGCATGATCACCTGAGACTTCATTTAAAATCAATCTGGGTTGAGGGCAAGCATCAACATGCTCTGAAGAATCCATCACAGTCTGGTTTGTGGGACACACATTAGGTCTGTCAATGACTGTCTTAGCTAGTTTTACATTTTCGGTTTCAGTCAGTACATCTGTTGGATTGTTCTGGAAGGCAGAATCACTTATATCAACAAATTCAACATTCACACCATGCAACTGATGACATGAATTTCTGGCAGATACATTAGCCTCTGATATACATTCCAAATGAAACCTTGTATTCTTCAAAACTGTATCTGGACTGGAAGTTTCAGAAACTGCACTAGAATTATCAACCAAAACTGCCAGTTCTTCAACTCTACCTTCTGTTGCAGTCTCTCTTGATGAAATATCCAGTGCTCTTGTGTTTAAACCACTGTGGCCTGCAGGGTATGTATATTCAACATGTGATGGATCTGAACCCTCTCTGCTGGATCCACAAGGCTGCTCCTCGTTTGCCTCAAGATGATCTGATTTCACTTTATGACTTCTACTTTGTGCCGGAGGAGCCTCAGTTTCTGCTGCCGGTGTTTCACCTGGACCTTCTAAATCCACTGATGAGAGCTCAGGGGAGACAAGGCCTTCGCTGGATATTGAGAACCTGGCTGAAGGTCTGTTGTGGTTACTGAGGCTACGGACTGCTGCAGCTCGTGCTGATCGGAACATTACTGAGCGGAGCATGGCCGCAGCATCTGTGGACGTGGTAGCGGCTGTATCGTCCCTCACATCTTCAGCTGGGGTCAGATCGTCATCTCCTGAAATATGTAGGGAAGAGATTAGGGTAACCTTGGTGACGGACAAACCCTTGTATACACAAAAACATACATGCACAAACAATCTAAACGCTAATAATAGAAAAAAAATGTAAACAACCCTTTTCACACCACTGACACATTAGGCTTATCATGTTACAACCCATATTATTCCAATTAGCAATGCCATTACTTTACAGGACATCTCCTGAAATCCCTTTTAGGCTTATTTGACCCTGAAGCGCTAGATCAATTTTAAAAATCTGTCTCAATTTAGATTTGAACTCAGGACCTTCAAGTCAACAGGCAAGCATCTAGGCACTGTGTTATCATGGCTCCCCTTGAATGACAATGCATCAGATTTTAGAATTAAAACTAGGTCTTCCAAAGGATTTACATCTAATCAGCACATCAGAAAACCAAGCAGCCAACTAACTAACTAACCAGGCAACTAATCAACAAACTAACTAAGCAACCAATCAATTGGCAACTCATATAACCAATCAATCAGGCTATTAACCTACCAGGTAACCAACCAATCAGCCACATATATAATCAATCAACCAGGCAACCAACAAACCAACTAATCAGGTAACTGATCAATCAGCCACACATACAAACAACCGATTAGGCAAACAACCAACCAGGCAACCAACCAATCAGCCGTACATATAACAAATCAATCAAGCTACTAAACAACAAGGCAACCAACCAATCAGCCATACATATAACCAATCAACCAGGCAACCAACCAATCAGCGGTACATATAACCAATCAATCATGCTACTAAACAATGAGGCAACCAACCAATCAGCCATACATATAACCAATCAACCAGGCAACCAACCAATCTGCGGTACATATAACCAATCAATCATGCTACTAAACAATGAGGCAACCAACCAATCAGCCATACATATTACCAATCAACCAGGCTACTAAACAACAAGGCGACCAACCAATCAGCCATATATATAACCAATCAACCAGGCTACTAAACAACAAGGCGACCAACCAATCAGCCATATATATAACCAATCAACCAGGCTACTAAACAACAAGGCAACCAACAAATCAGCCACACATATAACCAATTAACCAGGCAACCAACCAATCAACCGTACATACAACCAATCAACCAGGCTACTAAACAAGGCAACCAAAAAATCAGCCACACAGGTAACCAATCAACTAGCCAACCAATCAACCGTACATACAACCAATCAACCAGGCTACTAAACAACAAGGCAACCAAAAAATCAGCCACACAGGTAACCAATCAACTAGCCAACCAATCTGGCAACCAACCAACCAGCCACAGATACAAAAAAAAACACACACAAAAAAAACAACAAACTAACTAGGCAACCATCCAATCTGTCACACACATAAACAACCAACCAGGCAATCAACTAACCCCATATGTTAGACCCAATGCTATCAAAAAACAAAAGAAGTAAAGCTGACTACTTACTTCCACTAGTGGCACTCTCCCCATCCTCCTCCTCCTCCACCTCCTCACCTCTTCCACTTCTCTCACTGTGACTGTTTAGCATTCTGGTGAGAAGATCTGACATCCGCTGCATGATGGTGTTTGTTAGCGCTGTTGAATCAGAAAACAAACATTTAATCCTCATTTATTCAGTTTTACGTCATCTACTCTAGTATTGAGTATACTCAATTCCTTCAAAGTCAGAGTGCATCTGCCTGTAAGGCAAGGAACCAGCAGTCTGCATACAAATAATCCAGATCTGTTTAACGGATGTACATGCAAAATTCGGGTTCTGGAACAAGACTAAAGTCCTGAGGTGGATGAATAACCATAACTTTCTGCCAGAGTTTATAGCCGGTGAATACAAAGAAGATAGAAGAAGTATACTAAGTAACTAGACACAGCGCAAGGAAAGGCAAAGATGCACATAAAAACAATGGAACAATGGAAAGTTATGACAAAAATCTATCTCAGCAGATAAAATAACAAAATTTTAAACAGCCAGGAAGGTGGTATAGAATAGGAGATGGGGTAAAATAGGGACAGGAACAGCTATTTAGAAACAAACCCAAAGAAACAGCTTTCCAGTCATAGTTTGTCTTGTATTCTTCTTGTTCTTCTCTTTAGTCCTAGTCTGCCTTTCAGCATCAGGTTTTCAGGAGGCATTGGGTGCAGGCCTTGGTAGATGCTGATATTTACTTACGGCTTGAAATATTCCATCCACCCATCGCCTGTGTGGCTGAACTCTAGGTCTGCTTCCATTGTGTCTAAGTGAGAGGGCTTATCTATCTGGTGCTGCACTATCTGGTGGTAGGCTTGACACATGTCCAAACCATCCGATCTGTTGCCTCTTGATGTAGTTTAGTACTGATTCCACCCCAGCATGTTTTCTGATATTGTCATTCTGATCCTATCTCTTCTAGTTACATTAGAATTTTTCATAAATTTCAGGTCTGTTGTTTAGATTTTTATTTTCCATTTGTGTTATTAATGTCCACGTTTGGCACTGGTAACATGAAGTTAGTAAAAATACTGTATTGAATAGAAAGAACTCTTTTTTGGTGTCAATTGGGACAAGTTTTTTTCTGCAATATTGTTGACATCTGTCCAATGATTTTCTTTACTACAACTTTGTTTTATCTCTGCACAAGTGCAGTCACCCATATTTTTTTATATTTCTATTAGTTAACTGCATGCCATTCAAACTTATGCTAAAAAAATTATATAAAATTTGTTAAAATCCATTTAAAATGTATTGAATAACTGGTGCCAAAACAATAACAGTTAAGATTTTTAAAAAGTTGTATGCGTGTGTGTATAGATACAGTAAACTTTTGTTAACATGACCTGGCTTAGGACAAATATCCAGTCAACATGAACAAAATTTTGGTCCCTGTAGGGATACACATGTATTAATTACATGTATTAGTCCGTGGTTAGCTTAAATTTTGTTCGCACACACACTTCATTTATCTGTCCCTTGGAATTTGTATTGATAAGGTTTTACTATAGTCCCATATCAATTATTGGTGTTGGGGTGTGAAATGTTAGGTCTTAGCATATTCTGGACTATGACATATGAGATAGGGTGGAAATCACATTTCCATTCTTAGCTGGAGACTGAAATCATGTAAGTGTCTTTACAAGGACTAGCACTAACCACTATGCTATTGCAGCTGTAACCCTACATCAGGGATCGACAACTCACACACTCTCTCTCTCTCTGTGCATGTGTGCGTGCGTGCGCCTGCTGTTTTCTGAGCTGGGGGGGGGGGGGGGGGGGGGGTGGCTGATTATATAGTAATTTTACACCAGCTCACAATCCACTAAAAACTGTGAGCCACAGTTTGGCCACCTCCGTTCCAGAGTCTAGGGAAGTGGTGGTTAACCTCTCTAGGTTTACATGCTTTTTTTTTTTATTTCCAGAAATCATTAGTGATCTAATTTATAGATTATAGAGTTAGACGACAGAGAGCCTGAAAAAGGGGGATAAAATAATGGCACAGTCCTCATGGGTTACATCTTACAGCTTGCCAGTTGACTAGCAGACTGCAGTATTTGCCTTTGCCACCGCTGGTCTACAGGCAGCTTAAGGTATGTTTGATTTGGTCTTTTCACCTTTTATTAAAATTTAAAAATCTAAAATAATGTCTCTGGCTACCTGGCTCCTCGCTTTCTGGTCTGGCATCTGGCCCAGTGTCTGACCAATCCCCTCGTAGTCTGAGTCGTTTGATAGGCTTGAAGGCACTGTCTGAATCTGAGCCATTGTCCATGGCGGTGGCAGAGGCTCCTAGTGCTGCAGCACCACTGGTGCTGGCTTCACCAAAGCTGGTTCCGGCCGCTGAGCTGATGCCCACAGGCTTCGATGTAGCTCCATTCATATCAGGCTATAACATGATGATAAATCACATAAAGTTATAGCAAAAATATGGATTTAAATATAATCTCATTAGGTTCAACAACCTATCTGAGTTATGCTTCTGGTGACTACTTCTACTTTTTCTTCTACTTTTACTACTACTACTACTTCTTCTTTTTCTCTTCCTCCATTTACTCTAAGAAAGTGCTGGCAGAAACGTAAAGATTTTTCTAATGCTGCATGTCAGTTGGTCTTCATTTTGCGAAGGTTATTCTTCAGGATGTCACTATAATTTTTTGCTTGGCCTTCCCTTTATTCTATGCTCATTATATTTCTTCAGTAACGCTATATGTAGCAGCAAGTACCAAAGCATTGCTGTCAGATAGCCAAATCATCTCATCTGTTGTTCTTTAACTCTTTCAGTCCCCATGAATGCACCATCTGTTCATAGGTTCCTACCTAGAAGCTCAATGTATGCAAAATGCACTGATTAAATGTTTCTCTTGACCACACTTCTGATGCTAAGCCCCCTGCTACTGAAAGAGAGTGAACTGTATTACTGCTTTAGTAAATTTATTTTATTTCTGTAAAATGTCTTTATGCTCTTTGTATTTATATCTCTAAATATTTCTTGAGTTGTATGTTTGTTTGCATTCATTGGGCTATAAACACAAGCAAAAAATTATGGTTGCTTGTCCATTTCTGGATGTTGGCTTTGTTCCACTATTTAGTTTTGTGTGTGCATCTGTTTTACAGATCTATGCAGTGAGTTGTTTCCTTGCCTACCAGGCAGATGCGTTCAGACTTTGGAAGGAAATTTCTTTAGTAAAGTTATTAAAGAAACTATAGTCACGCCTATAGGTATATTCGATATACAACATTAGCCATTTTTACTTGTACATCATTATCATGTGCCACATTGGTTAGTATAGGCTGTCATATTTTGCCATCTCACACCATCATCAGAATCATTGATCAGGTCAATGTTCTTGTCTCGTCCCATTCACGTGGAAAAAGCCACCCAGGTTTTTATCTCTTTGCCTTCCTCTTGCTCTCTTTCCGTTAAATTAAAATTCTCCACCTGTAATCAAGTTCTTGAGTCCATTTCTTCACATATTTCCCAAAAATACTGACTGTCTAGGTCTAATTGTTATAATAAGTTTAAAATATTTGCCCCCATACAACAGTCAAGAAACAAACAAAACAAAAAAATGAAAAAAAATGAAAAAAATTACTTTTTTTTTTTTCCCCAAGACAACAAAATCTTTGACTAACCTTGGATGTGTAGCACTGCTGCTTGTCGGTGTCATAGGTGTTGAACAGGTAAATGTTTTCTGATGAGTAGTTCACCAGCACGTCATGTGAACCCTGTCGATAGTTTAGGGAGGTAATTCTGTAGTGTTTCTTATCACTTCCTGCCATCGGAGGCAGGAACTTACATATGAGGCTGTCACTGCTACCTGGAAATGTGAAAACAATTATAGCAGCCAGAAATTAACAGCAGAGGAGAATTTTTTACTGTTTCATTACAATAGGGTATCAGACATATTGTGTTAGACCTACAATTTTTATAGACACATCAGCACTTAATGGGTGACATGGCTGACATCATGCTGGCCACCTTTACTTTCCAGAACATATCCCAGTACCCCTTTTTGTAACACTAACAGGAACTAGTAAATAGCTAAAAGGAAAAGAATAGCACAATGGTATACCAGGTTACCCAAAAAAAACTTACACTGCACTAGTGCATCAGTGGTCTAGAGAGAAAACGGCAGGAACAGAGGTAGGCATCACTGGATGGGTTACAAGAACAAGAACTAACTAAAATCTATACCTCCTGTTTCTCTTGTCTTCAGCATCCGTCGATCATAAAGTTGTACAATGCCATCAGAAGAAGCTACTGCTAAATGGAAGGGTATAATTGGGTCAACTGCCATGGCTGTCACTGCGTTCCTGAGGTGTATCACAACATCCTGCCAATTGCAAAAATATTTTAAAATAAACTTTATTAAGTAAATATAGAAAGAAGGAAAATCAAAACAAAAATAAAATGCCTACGTCAAATTCTAAATGTAATAAGAAGAGACAAAATAAGAAATGACGGTATCATGAAATTAGTTAGGATGGAACCATTGACAACAAATAATATGTTCAGACATGTATCGACATTACCATAAGATAGCACATCACAGAGAGCTCTGCCAGACATACGTCCTCCCCATTTTACTCGTGTCCTCCATAAATTACTCATGTTCTCCCCATGTTACTCATGTCCCTAATTCTCTTCTCCTTTAGTTTTTAGGACTCATTTTTGTAACTCATTATTATACTGTTTGGCTTGCAGGTTCCAGTGAAATGATATTTTAGCTATATTGTTATCTAGTTTTCTCCCAGTGTGTCTGATTTAGCACCAGTGTCTTCTCTGATCTGACTATAATTTTTTTTTTCTGTCCTAAAGCTGTGACTTGGTGATTCTGCCACATTATGTGGTTCCTTCTCTTTTGCAAAGGCACTAATTATTATTTTTAATAATTTTTTTTTTTAGTTTCTTCGAATTAGTTGTAGTTATTTTTGTGTTTTTTTTTCATACAGCAGTAGTAATTACTTATTAGAGTTAAATTTTCTAAATCTGGTATTAGGTTTGTGATTTAGAAGGTCTGAGTCCGGTTTCACAATTTCAACATACAAATCGTGATTTTGAGTCTGCTGCTGGAGATTTGGTAGCCAACCGCTTTGCATTGAATTCCACAATGGTATGTCCAGAAAGCAATGACAAACTTATCATCAAGTGCTCTGCCAAATGGTATATGCCTCTCTTGGTCTTTGGTGTTCAGGATCAATTCCACAGATGATATTCCTCGATGCCACTGTCTTAAGCCATCCATCATCATTTCTCTTGGTCTGCCTCTGCTACCAGTAATCTTTGCAGTCGTCACAAAATGACAAGCCACCGAACATAAAACTCCCAGTAAAACCACAAAAAGCCAAACAATGATAGGCCTGATAAGGATTTACAAATAGTTTAACTTTGTCACCACGAGAAGATTAGTCACTTCTGGCTGTGATATCATCATCAACATTATCAAGTGCCTGGCTAACTGGTGTAGATAATCATGTCTTTCCATGATCTGCGATCTTCGACAGCATGTATAAGTTTGTGTGCTGACAAAAAGCTGTCAAGAATCTTCTTGCATTGTCTTCCTTTGTCTCTTTTCCCACAGATCTCTCTTGTGGTCACAACATGTGACACAGTCTCTTAAATGCTGATATATTGTCATGTCTGCAATGTTGCTTTCTTATCCTTACGTCCTTTTTAGGACGTAATTTTTTGTTATTTGAAGCCCCACTCTGGCTTTTGCCAGGGGCCGCAATATAGGCAGGCCATAAATATGGCCAATTGTCTGAACACGGTTTCTGGGACCTCTCCACGGTGATCCTCACCCACATGTTGGCACTTTGTGTCATCGGGTGTTTATCGCTTGTGTGATGTCCTGGTGGGGTAGAAATTTATTCATTCATTCATGTCTGCAATGACCTGTTTTCAAAAAAGATAATTAAATTGGTTCCATGTGCGTCTGCAGAGTGTTTAACAGGCCAAGACATGAATAAAGAAACTAAAATCTGTATTTGGGAGTAGGAGAGGTGTTCTTATGACCTCAATTGCTTTTTTTTTGGTGTTAATTACAAATGTCCCATTGAGGGCACGGTGTCATGGCATGAGTCATTGAATACACATTGTTGTATAGGCCCTATGGAATGTATTCCATTTAATACTTCACCCTCTTTGTGTTTACTGATTACTACTTTTATATATCTTTAGATATAGATTGTTTTTAATGTAGAAATAGTAGATATGTAGAAATAGTTTTTTAATGTAGAATTTGCTTTACAAATTTAATAGTAACCTGTGTAAAATGGTGTGGTTTTTTAACAGGATTTTTTTCTGATCCGCAGAGGTTCATGACCTTTTTGGGGTTTTTTTTTAAGTGAAAGGAACAATAAAAATACAATGAGCTTTCTGGGATACATGTTTGGGATCATCAATATCATCAAACATACATAAGTAATATCCTGTCCTACAAGGCGCATTATTTATTACTTGAAGAGCTAATGACTAATGTCTAACAATTACAGCTAATGGCTAAATTACTGACCTCTTCACAGTTGAATTTGGAGCAGCTGGTTTTTGTTCTCAGGTCAAAGAATCGAACTGTTCCATCATCACCACAAGATAGGAAAGTTGCAGCTTCATTAGGTACCACCAGAAGCTGTCTCACATGAAATAACAATGAATTCATTACAGATAATCCTAACATCAGCCTTAACAAAATATCATCATCATCATCATCAACTTCCACTTTCAACAAAATATCATCATCATCAACTTCCACTTTCAACAAAATATCATCATCATCATCATCAACTTCCACTTTCAACAAAAAATCATCATCAACATCATCATCAACTTCCACTTTCAACAAAATATCATCATCAACATCATCATCAACTTCCACTTTCAACAAAATATCATCATCATCAACTTCCACTTTCAACAAAATATCATCATCAACATCATCATCAACTTCCACTTCTAGCATTAAGCATACTGGGAGGGACAGATTGTGGTCTAGGACTTCTTGCCCACACATCAGATCTCTTCAGGTGTAGCGCCTGTGTTGGTAGTTGCTGTGGCTGAATAATGTGATGACCAAACCATGTGGTCTTCTGCTGCACAAAGAATGCTGCTTGATGTTGTAGAATAAATATAGAATAAAATATTAATCTCTATATTATATAGTTCCAAAATCAAGTTTTGTATCTTTAATTCTAATGTCACTTCTTCTAAGTAAGAAATGCCAGTGAAAGTTGGATAACCATTGAAGACAAAGAGACAGTTCATTTTAAAATAAAGCTAATCCCTGATTCAACCCTTGAATATTAAATGGGGTGAATCAAGAAAGGAAAAGAAATCAGATAAATTTCTGGACAACCGCTAGTACCAACAGCATAGGGAAAAAAAGAAGGCAATATACTGAGCATGTCCTGGGGAAAAAAAGACAGTGAATCACCAAGCAGGCACTGAAATAGGAAACAAGTGAATCACCAAGCAACACTGAAAAAAGTTGTTGAATATGCAGTAAGTTAGAATGTTGACTGGGTGGTTGAAAGAGTGGATAGTTAATCAATTTTCTGATTCACTGAAAGGTTAGTCGACTGACTGGTTCACTGGTTGATTAGTTTGATGGTTTTTTCGCTTGTTGAATGGTGGCAGATAGGATGGTTAAGTGGTTGGTTATGTGGATAACTGACTGATAAATTCATCTGCTGACTCATTAGAAGGTTGGTTGATTTACTGGTTTGTTCAATCATTCATTGGATGATTAGTTTATCCTCTGGAAATTCTGGAAAATAAAGTTTTAACAATATAAAGATTAGTGTTACAACATACAAAGGACTGCCAGTGAGTGGTTCACTGGTTGAGTGTGCCATGGGTTGAGTGGATCATAGGTTGAGTGGATCATAGGTTGAGTGGTTCATTGGCTGAGTGGTTCACTAAATGAGATGTTCACTGGTTGAGTGGTTCATTGGTTTAGTGGTTCATTGGCTGAGTGGTTCATTGGTTGAACAGTTCACTGGCTGAGTGGTTCACTGGTTGCGTGATCCTGGTTCAATGGCTCAGTGGTTCTCTGGTTGAGTGGTTGATTGGTTCACTGACTGAGTGGTTCTCTAGCTGAGTGGTTGATTAGTTGAGTGATTCACTAAGTGACTCAATGATTGAATGGTTCACTAGTTGAGTGGTCCATATGATTAAGTGGTTCATTAGTTGCATCTGAGGGGTTAAGTGTTAATCCTTGACATATTCTAGATCCAGATCATGGCTTAGGTGGCATAGTCAGTTTCCTTGTCACTTTTACTTCTCAGACAATTCCCTGATAATTCTGAACATTGTTTGGTCCAAACTGTTCAGGCCCACCAGTCTCACAGCTGTACTAGCCAGAACAAAATCATCCTGCCAATGCCAGAAATGTATCCTGGACTACTGTTTTCAGAGGCAAATACATTAACTACTATGCAACCACCAATGTGGATTGCTATAAACATTATACACATTAGAAAAATATTTATTCAGTGAAACTTACCTTGTAAGTAGTTCCAAAATGGCAGTCAAATCGATTAGTTCCATAGGTATCCTCTCTATCTACATCAGTATAGAAGATTTCCCCCGAGCCTGAACAGCTGACCACCTGAACATTGATCACAGTGTCATGGAACAAATACAAACACGTTTAATTTGATAAGAGGAGATCACAGCAATGTAATATACATACAAGCACACTTAATTTTATCTGAGAAGATTTCAGTGTCATGGAACAAATACAAGCACATTTAATTTGATAAGAGGAGATCACAGCAATGTAATACAAATACAAACATGCTTAAATTTATTTGAGAAGATTACAGTGTGGTGGAACAAATACAAGTACATTAAATTTGATAAGAGCAGATCAGAGTAATATGTTACAGTTAGAATGCAATCTTTCTTTGTCAACTAAGCTGAGAAAGAGAATTCTCAAGAACTATATAAATCCTATCCTGATTAACGGAAGTGAATCATGGACAGTTGGCTGTTAATGAAAAATTATGCAGAAGTGCAGAGATGTGATTTTACAGATGAATGATGAGAACACCTAAGGCAGATAAAAAGAGTAATAAAGATCTCTCGAAAGAAAACTGACCCACAAAGAGAACTGATTGCCCACATCAGAAGGAGACAATTTACATTCTTTGGTCATGTGATGAGAAGGAGAAAATTTGAGTACATTGTAATGCTAGGAAAGTTAGAGGGGAAAAGAGACAGAGGAAGATGCTGGACAGTCTGACATCATGGCATGGAAAGATCATCAGTGTCAGAAATTAACGAAAGTACAAGAGACAGAAGACTTCGGATAGACATGACTGCCAGTACCACATGGCATAGATTATAAGAAGATCACAATGATGTGGTACATTCACAAGTATTTGTAATAAGAACAGAGATTACAGTAATGTAGTAAATTTATAATTACAACATGCGACACAGCAGAGGTTGGGGGAAAAGCACAGCTAAAAATAAAAAAAAAAAATAAAAAGAATAAACAAAGAGCAAAAAGGACAACAAGCATATCAGTTGCATGTTTGTTTTTTCAGAAGGCCAGAAATCAACCTATGTATCTATTGAATGTTTATGAATTTATTGGGCAACTGAACATTCAGTAGTTTGGCACTGCTTTCTGAGCAGTATGATTGACACTTCTTCTTCTTCACTGTCTCTTCAACCACTTCAGGTACTAAGAGAGATATAAGGTTCTGCTTCTTGCTCTACTGCACCCCTCGACCTCAGACACATCATGCTGTTGTAGAGTGTCTGTTATCTTTCCCTCTTTTCTTGGTTTATCTCATACTCTAAGTCCTTCTCTTTAGTGTACACCTTGAATGGTACAGCATCACAAGGCATTCTCCTTAGTTGAGAAAATCATTTCATTTGCTATCTTTGTATGTAAATTTAGAATCGGTTCAGTGCCAACTTGTTCTCTTATAACCTCATTCCTCATTTTATCTCTTCTAATCATTCCCGCAGCTCTTCTCAGACATCTCATGTCCGTAGTTATTAATTCTCTTTTCTGGTTTGGTGTGATAGGCATAAAACAACACAAAGTATTCTGCTGCCAAACAGACCATAGATGAGTCTGACTCCAAGTATTCATGATTATGAAAAAGTATTAACAATCTCCCAGCTACAGATGTTGACAGGCAAGAACACACACACAAAATATCAAAATATACATTAAGGATGATTACAATTCTGCGGCTGTTTCTTCTATATATTAAAAATACAGTGCTATTTCTGTAGTAACTTTGCCCTCTTCTTTAGCCTTCCATGCCTTTGAATTTCATTGCTGCAGACATCATCCACCTCCCCTCACCTTTGTGACTGACCTTCTTCCTCCAGTTGGTAACTCCAAATGTTTCTAAGTTTGCCTCTATATTATCTCTCTTCCATCTTCTTGGTCTGTCTCTATATTATCTCTTTACTATATTCTTGGTCTGTCTCTATATTTTCTCTTTAATATCTTCTTGGTCTGTCTCTATATTATCTCTCTACCATCTTTTTGGCCTGGCTCTATATTATCTCTTTACTATCTTCTTAGCCTGTCTCTATATTATCTCTTTACTATCTTTTTGGTCTATCTATATTATCTCTCTACCTACTTCTTGGTCTGTCCCTGTATTATCTCCCTACCATCTTCTTGGTCTGTCTCTTTATTATCTCTTTACTATCTTCTTGGCCTGTCTCTATATTATCTCTTTACCATCTTTTTGGTATGTCTCTCTTTTATCTCTCTACCATCTTCTTGACCCGTCTCTATATTATCTCTTTACTATCTTCTTGGTCTGTCTCTATATTTCTTTCTACCATCTTCTTGGTCTGTCTCTCTATTATCTCTCTACCATCTTTTTGGTATGTCTCTCTATTATCTCTCTACCATCTTCTTGACCCGTCTATATTATCTCTTCACTATCTTCTTGGTCTGTCTCAACATTATCTCTCTACCGTCTTCTTGGTCTGCCTCATGACCATGCAAGCAAGACTCAGAGGCTTCACTGGTTTATTACTTTACGGACCTCTCTTTGTTATTATGGTGAATTGTTTTACGTGCAATGGCGATACTGAACTGCTGCATGCAACAGCAACAGAGAGGATAAGCTGGCATGAGCTGGTTGACAGCCTATGACTCATCGGGGTATAATGGGCCAAAAAAGACACTGACACTTAATTCTGGAGTAAACAACATGCCTTCATTGTTACAAATAGACAACAACTGAGTGTGCACGCATGCACCAATGAACACAAACACAATTTTTTTTTAATGTCAAAAGAGAAGAGACAAAAAGAGAACAGAACATACAATAAAGAAGAACAGCATATATATTGCCATACCTCTCTGTCCATACTCCCTGGCAGGAACTTTGCACTAAATATATTTGACCTGTGACCTGATCTAAATTTGACAATAGTCTGAAAAGTAAAATACAGAAATAGGCATTAGTTGCTATCATAAACAACAAAAAACAACAAAAAAGTTAACATAGCATAAAATACTGTACAGTGCTAGATAGTCCTTATGGGGTCTCTGAAGCAAAGTGGTTAAGCCGTTTGCCTCACGTTCTGGAGGTCATGGGTTCATTTCATGGCTTTGCCCTTTTGTTCACGAGTGCAATTTTTACAGAAATCCCTGGGGATTATCACAGCAGCTACGGAGTTTGTGCTCTGTGTGACACTCTCGGTAGGTGGTTTGCCACTCTACGGAGAGAGACTGAGCCATATGGGATAAAAATGAAGTCAATCCTCTAAAAGAAGAAGAATAAGAAAAAGATAGACATTAGTCACCATGAGATATAATTCTGGACAGTTAAACACAGGCATAGCTCACCATAATATATAATACTAGACAGTTAAAAACAGACATTGCTCACCATAATATATACTACTTGACAGCTAAAAACAGATATTGGTCCCCATGAGAAATAATACTGGACACTTAGAAGCAGACATTGGTCACAATGAGTTATAATATTGGACAGTTAGAAACAGACATTGGTCACCATGAATTACAATAATGGACAGTTAGAAATGGACATTGGTCACTATGAGTTATAATAATGGACAGTTAGAAACAGAAATTAGTCACCATGAGAAATAATACTGGACAGTTAAAAACAGACATTAGTCACCATGAGAAATAATACTGTACAGTCAGAAACATACATTAGTCTTCATGAGATATAACACTAATCTATGGGAGGTGAAAATTATTACCATGAAATACAACACTGAACAATGAAAGACAAACATTGGTTACCACAAAATGTAATAGTGGATTGTGGGAGACATATATTAGCCACAATGAGTTTACAATGATATATAACAGTGAAAAATGAGATACAGACATTAGTTATAAGAGATACAACAGTGAACAGTTGGAATAGGAGACAGAAGACAGACATTAGTTACAATGAGATATAACACTGAACAATAGGAGACAGATATTACAATAAGATACAATACTGAATAATGGGAGACATATATTAGTTACAACTGAGATGAACAATGAACAAAGGGAGACTGAAATTATCTACAATGAGATTACAATGTGGCCTAATCTCATATATGTTTTAGTTAAAGTTATATTTTTTTTAAACAAATTTACAACAATTATTATTCCTACCTTGCCAGAGAATGGATCAGTAATGGCCAGCTGTTGATCATCAGATCCTGACAAGATGAGGGTGCCATTATCATTCCAACAGATCGTGTTGACCTGTTTGGTGGAAATGGTCAGAAGTTTACTAAAAATAGCCAGGGTGTGTATCCTTATGAACAAATTGGCTTAAAAAAAAAAAAAAAACTTTTAAAATGAAATTATGAAGTCAAAGTTTCCTAATACCACTAGTGTTACCTGGTGGCCAGTTTAGTAGATTAAGTATAAAGTCATAATACACATTTATTTTAAAGTCATATAGAGGCAAGTCAGTTAATTCTCAGTTGCACTTCTGTTGACTGAAAACTCCTCTTAATCAGTATACAAATTTATATTGTTTGAGTCCATAAATGTAATTTTTATAATTTTTGTGTGATCTGTACACGGCCAGCTCCAGATTAATAAGGCCGTACAGCTCGAACGGGAATTCCCGTTCTTGTGCAAGAATTGAGTCCCTCTGCGTCCACAGTTTTTATCGAGGAGATGTATACACAAATTAAACTACAGTTTCATTAATTTTCAACATATTTTTTAGAACTATACGTCATTTTTAAGGTAAATAAGTGTGCCAATTAAATATAACAATAAAGGCTCTTACAGACAAAAATGCTTTTGCTACAGTCAACATGAACATAAACATCAATAACGTTTAGATGTAAACTAAAGGTTTTTCCAGCAAAAGTAAAGAAATATCAGTGCTAACTCTTTGATTCTGAGAGGGTATTGCTGCATCAGAGGAGCGGGGGGGGGGGGATGACATTTGTACTTTATCAAATTTAGCGCATAAAAATACTGCTATGAAACATACACATGTCATACACAACATAAATATAAATGATTGATGGTTATTATTATTATTAGTAGACTACTACAACATACAAATATACTGTTATTTAATCATTAGTAAACAAGCACAATCAGTATGAAATTGATATGTGCAATACTTTTTTCACCCAGAATAGTTTTCTTAACAGTACTTATAGCACTACTAAATATGTAACCTCAAGGTACAAACAGCACAAACAAATTTGTCCAGTTTCATCTTGTTGGATGAAATCAAATCCTTATCATTGCGAATTTTTTGGTTAAAATATGCAAGGGAAGTGGATGAACAACCAGAAGTTTCTGCAAGAGTTTACAGCCAGTGTTCGCGAAGCAAAGCAAAAGCCAGTTTACACAAATTAACAGACCATAGAACTGCAAATATGCAAAAGAAGTCGATGAGCAACCAGAAGTTTCTGCAAGAGTTTACAGCCAGTGTTCGCGAAGCAAAGCAAAAGCCAGTTTACAAAAATTAACAAACATATAATTATACTGTTAGTCAACAATTAGTAAAGAGGCAAAGAGTGACTTGCTGTGAGAGGTTAGTTAGCAGGTCCTTTACAGGTTTCATCTTTGTCTGCCTAAAAGAAACTTAGCCCTTGCCAGCTTTCCTGCTTCATGCATATTCCTGACCAAGGTGTCTCATGTACTGTACCCATCTTCATGCTGGTCGCCCACTGCCACTCTTACCCAGCACCATGCCTTCCACAACTGTACTTTCCAATTCATAGTAATATTTGAAACGCCCAAAATATTTCAGTTTCCGAGATAAGATGCTATTTGCAAGGCAATTTGTAGTACTTCTTTTCCTCTTGGTCCATGGTATTCTAAGAACTAAACAGATATAACATAGCAAATACCATCAACAGGATGAATGACAAGGAAGAGAAGACAGGGGTAAAGGGAAAAGTAGGAGAAAAAAGAAGAGGAGGAAGAGGAAATAAAAAAGAACTTACACATCCATCATGTACGCTGAGTTTCTTGTCTAACTTCAGTCTTTGCAAAAAATAAAGACTCCCTGAAACATATTCAATTAATACACATATTTTAAAGCTTAAAATAGCTATTGGTAACAAATGGAAAGATTTGATGGAAAAAAAAGAACAAGTTCAAGAAAGAGAGATTAAATATGGATTGCTTAGCCATATGGTTGAGGTGGGACAAGAACACTGATCTGTTCCGTGATTCTGGTGATCATGAGGGATGGCAAAACATAATAAGCTATACATATCGGCATGGCAAATGATGATGATGATGACGATCAGTAAGCCTATTTATTCAAAAAATCACGTGGGAGTGGCACAGATGTGATTTTATAGACAAATTTAAAAAACAATGTGGACAGATATAAAGAATAATGAAGATATCTTGAAATAAATTAACTCATGAAGACAACTAATTATCTACAAAAGGAAGCGAGAACCTATATTCTTTGATCATGTCACGGGTAGGAGTTAATTGTGGCGAAGGGAAATTTTAAGGGAAACAAGAGCAGAGACAGACCGAGAGAGAAGATGATGGACAGTTTAACATTATGACATAAAAGATCATTCGAGTAGAAATTAATGAAGATACATGAAAACGAAGGTTGTAGATAGACATGAATACCACCGCCAGAAAAGCATGAATTGTAAGAAGAAAACTTTTCATTTATCTCATTCAGTTCAGTTTAGACTACCGTCGCTGCAATCTATTAGACCCATATTTGATAGTCTCCTCTGTATTAATTCCATCAGTGTTGTCCTCTGTTGTGTCATCACTGTCCTGTTGTGCCATATTACATCACATAGAGCTTACAGTCTATTCTTCCATTTAATTCTATCCAATGTAATCCCTTCAATATCATAGATGGAATCCAGTCCAGCACCTTTGGTCTCTCTCATCAATGTTCATTTTAGGGTTTCTTTCGGACGTCTCCTTCTTCTATCCCTTTATTTCTAATTTTAATGCCTCTTTGGTGATTCTCTGTTCATTTCTTCTAAGGATGTGCCCCATATAGTGCCATCTTCTTTGTCTTCTAACGGTTTTTACCAGTGGTTGCCCAGATATTTCTCTTATTTTTTCATCCCTCTTGAATTCAAACCATTTGATTTTTGATATTTTCCTCTGACATTTGTTTGCAAATGCATTAAACTTTCGTTCCATCTTTTAGTGGTTCTTCTACTTTCACTAGCATTCATTCAATGAGATTAATTGGGGTGGTTATTGTGGCTGGTGAAAATGACCCACTGAAAAAGGATCTGTATTCATCAGGTCAATGTATTGCCTTTCTTTCAGATCCACTACTGAAGTACTATATCTAATGACTGTTGCAGAGCTCACTTAGAAGTTCATTCTATCAGTTGCTCGCAGTCTGTGAAAAACAAATCCCCACATCGAGTAGTACAAGTATGGCTAGATAACTTGCTAGACACGGTGCTACCATTAATTGTCTTCTTCTTCCCTTTGTCCGCAGTGGATCATAGGGTGCAGTGTTACTATTTTTGTATCTCACGAGGGCGCCAGTGACACATGGGTGTCCATCCATTAACACCAATTAATATAATAGCTGACTGTTTCTCTCTTCAGGGTGCATCCTGAGGTCAGCTTACCCCTCTGACTCAAAGAACAGATCTTGGTGCCAATTCAACAAGACAAAAACCTGTTCAACTTCCTGAGAACCTGCAATTTGCAGTCCTTTGCATGTAGGGATAAGTAAAATAATGTAATAAGGAAAAAATTATGTGTTTTTTTCTCTTCAGGTTATAATCTGAAGGTCTGACCATCCCTTGCAACTCATAGAGTCGATTTTTGAATGTGAATCCAAGAGGGCACATCCCAGATACTAGATACACATCCCAGATATTAGATACACCTACCCAGCATTGAAAGAAGTTATCATTATAGTACTGGCAACAGATACAAATACTACCCGGCTGAACTCCCTGTCCTGTGTGTGTAAGGATGTGATGCAGTACTGGATTTGGGTAAAAGCTAATTAAGCTACATCTTTTGGCCTCACACTCAGCGGTGGTCTAAACAAATTCCTACTTTTTGTTCAAAAATGCAATTTTCTTTGTATAAAACCTTTAAAAGGATTAAAAAAGATAATCTCTGTAATTATGCATAAACAATTTTATTCTTTCTTCTAGTAAAAATAATACAACATTATACTTTCATCATCCATATTTTTTTCAAAGGCGTAGTAGTTTTCTGAGATTAGCTTGTGTGTAATTTACAACTGTAGGGGCCTCGGGGTTTTATATAGATTAGGGCCTCATCAAGTCTAAATCCGACCCTGATGTTGTTTTACTGTAAACTGTGAATAATAATATAGTCAAAATAATAACGACTGATCTGTTCGTTCCACTGACAATTCTCAATTCCACCCATGATTAAAATCTAATTCGATGTCAACACTCAAAACAGCGAACTATACACAGTTATAGTATGGTATACACGTAACCTGTTGCAGTATTATAAAGCCGCCGCCAACTTTCGCCCCGATGTTCCCTGTCTCTTAAGAGACTGAACATGATCGTCCTCTAGTCGTCGGGATTCCAAATAATCACGTATTGTTGTGTAGCAGACATACAAATCTGGGTATTTTGATTCCAGACATTTTGATACTAAGGGAAATAATTCACTCCAACATTGTTTCACAGTTCACTCCCCTATTCACTGTTATTCCAAATAGCAGACGGCTCGTCGTAATAAGCGTTTCAATAGTGACATGAAAACAGTACAAAATAAAAGGATACCAAAAGCTTTTTTTTCTCTTCTTCTCCTATGCACTCGCCTCCTTCTTCATTCTTCTTCTTCTTCCCGTTATTCTAGTCGAGCATAGGACTTCATTCATTCATTCATTCAGTAGCATGTCCCTCGCGGAACCTCGCTGCCATAACAACCCTCCGGAAAACCTTCCTATCCTGAGCAAGATGTCCTGCGTCTGATACAACCATCTGGAGATCATCTGCCACATCCTGCACCCATCTTCTCCTTGGCCTTCCTCTTCCTCTCTTCCCATGCATATACCCCTCCATTATTGTTCTCTCTAGACTTCCATGACGTTTCAAGTGACCAAAATATTTCAATTTTCTTTGTTTTATTGTCTTTACTAGCCAATCCTCTTCAATATTCAGCTCTTGAAGTATGGATGCATTTGTTCTTTTCTTTACCCAAGATATTCTTAGAACCTGTCTGTAACATTTATATTCAAATGCATTTATGCGCTGTTCCGCTTGTTTAGTAAGTGTCCAGGTCTCACAGGCGTATGTTGCAATGGGAAAGATGCATGCTCTTAAAAATCTGACCTTTGTAATTCTATCTGTACAATTCCATAATTTATTCAGTTGTTTTAGTCTTTGAAGAGCAATTGATAGTCGCCGTTTAATTTCTTTCATTGTGTCACCATTGTTGGTAACCAGTGACCCAAGATATTCGAAATTTTCCACCACTTCCAATCTTTCCTCATTAACATATATTTCCTTCTCCATGGCAGTTTTGTTTGTATGCATTATCTTTGTTTTTGCTATGTTAAGAAATAAGTTATGATTTTCACTATTTCTTTGGAGTGAGGTTAATAAGTTTTCTAAACCATTTTGTGATGTTGATAGTAATACTGTATCATCAGCATAGGACTTCAGCCATAATATTCTTTGATTGATGAGCTGACCAGCTGGCACCAATGCAAACGGGAAGAAGCATGGACAGAGCTAATATCAACGCTGTACTGACAAGGTTGGCGGATAATGTTTAATCTCTGACGCTAACACGATTGCGTTACCGGGGAGTTAACCTTGGCGGACATACCTATGCCGTTTTCGATGTGAAGACAGGAGATAATATAACCAACTTCTCGTAGGAACAATCAGCAGAGGTACCTTAGAGTAGCTGCTGCATCGGAGGACTGAGCATACATGGGAAAACAAGGTGTGCAAAGACGTCGACTGTGATGACATAACAACAAGCCAGCAGAAGTCAACAGTGCTGCCTCCACCTCCATTCTCAAAATAGAAGTTGTGATATCATTTGCCAGGTTTTGTTGCAGTAAGCGACGTCCATTCGCTTTTTTTTTATAAGCCCCATGCACTTCGTGTGCCCCTCAACACAGAGTCATCTGTATAATCACATCACCTCGAGAGAATTGTAATGAATGATTTGTTGAACTTCTGATTCTGCAGCACCAGCTTCCCAGTACCTGCACTCACGAACTAAAGTGATAAGAACCATAAACACGTCTTTTCAGTCTTGTTGAATGTTTAATTAAGAATCGACATCATATCCCCTGAGACACCCCTATAAGCGCTCTTCGGCAGCAAACGAAGAGTTCCAATTCTGATTGCACCAGTAACTGTCCGATTGTTAAGGGCGTCCAAGAAGGATATTGATCCTCTCATACTCAAAGTCTCGCGCATTCTCACAGCCTGATCTTTAGAAATCAAGACTGAACATGGCATATGGTCACTGCATGATCGCCTAGGGCACTCCATTTTGTGTTCAGCACTGCAGACTGGGTAACAAACCCCAAATCAATAGCAGTGTCTGCATTGCCAAGTCGTGTTGCCATTCTGGTTGGACTACCATAGCATCAGCTAAAGCATTTCCTTGTCTATTTTACCCAGTTTGTCCCATGCTCTGTTCCGCGCATTAAAATTCCCACAAATTAAAAGTCTGTTACCAAGGATTTCACCCAACTATCTGAACCAGTCCCAATGTTTCTTTGTAACAAGATAGTCAACAGTAGCGTAAACATTTACTGTATTCCATTTGTTGTACCCTTATCAGTATTATCGATCTGTATACCTTGAACCTCCAGTGTACTATGATTCCACTGGCCCAGGTCAAGAATACCATGCTTCATCTTATTCTTCACCAGCAGACATTGCCCCTGTCTTCCCTGTCTGATAGGACGAATGTATCCGGGGCACGCATAACTATCTATATTTAATTAGTGCAATTTGATTAAATCAAATTCACACATCATATTAAAAAAAATTAGGCTTCAGGGGCAAGTGAAAGTTTCTGGGACCTGGCGTTTCCTGGTATCCAGCGGTAAACTTCCTGTGAGGGCAAGGTTTGTTTTGGAGTTACCGATTTCTCAATCTTCTCATCTCTTGGACTAACCAGCTACTACTTTACAATGACAGTGACATTAAAGATTTTAACTTTAAATTGTTGGTAAGTTTGTGGTTTACTTTTTGCAATAGATTTTAATTACAGTTTGTGACTTCATTTATCGCTTATAAATGTTCACTATCACTTTTTAAGCTTTCAATCATTCAATCCCGACTGTTTTTTTAAAGTTTACTTTATTAGTAGTAGTTTACTTAAATTACCTCCCCCACTCCCCCTTTCCCCCCCCCCCAAGTTAAAGTTTCTTGTTCAGTTGCCGCCGGATGATTAACTGTTAAACGGAACGGTAGAAACGAGAATTTTGTAGTGATATTGTAGAATGTTAATAATATTTCTTAATTTCTAAAGAACCTTTGATGGAGGCTTTTCTTCTTCTTCTTCTTCTTCTTCTTCTTCTTCTTCTTCTTCTTCTTCTTCTTCTTCTTCTTCTTCTTCTTCTTCTTCTTCTTCTGCTTCTTGCTCTCTCTCTCTCTCTCTTCTGGGGCTGTTTCCCCATTCTTTTCTGCTGCTGCTTCCTATTCTCCTTCTGCTTCCTATTCAGCTGATGCTTCCATCTCTTCTGCTGTTGCTTTATTTACTTCTTCTTATTCTGCTGCAGCTTCCTCCTTTTCTGCTCCTGCTACGTCTTCTTGTCCTCCATTCTGTTAATATTTCTTTAATCTCACATACTGCTGAACAAGTCTCCAGTAATTCAACATTCAGCTGCTTGACTTGTTTAGCCAAGTGCTATCTCCATACGGAGGACTTAACTGACCAACATTGCAGGGAATCACCTATATATACTGTCCAGGAAATTCAGGAGTGAGAGGGAATAAAAGAGTGAATTTTTTGGCTACAAAAGCTAAAGCCATAGAAACACTTGTTCTGGGCAAGGGAGACATTCTGAAGACCATATATGAATGAATGATGATAGAATACACAAGATTAGATGAAATAACATGTGTAAGAATGTGGGACTGTGATATTGGGAGTGGATCCGGCAAGGCGGGACATATGAGATTAAGAGAACAATGTGTGAATAATCAGTGTGCTATGGGAACAGTTATCATCTACACATTAAGAAATTTGCTGCGAGAGAGGGAGCATCTATAGGTACGCCTGGTGTGCTATGATGTTGATTCTTAAGTCATTTATCAGCAGTTATCCCCATAGGAGAATCGGCCCTCAGACAATGTATATATCTGCTTTAATGGCTTCTTATTTAATTCTAAGTGGTTAAGCTGTTTGCCTAGTGTTGTGAAGTTTGATAATTTGATTTTGGCACCATCGTTTAGTTTGCTAGAACTGGTATTTTTTAACTCTTTAAGTCCCAAGGAACGCATCATACAATTATAGGTTACTGCCTAGAAGGCCAATGAACACATTATGCGCCAATTTTACATCTCTCTTGACTACCCTTTGGGCCTGTGAAGCTAAACCCTCTAGGACTCAAAGAGTTAAGATCTCCATAATGGGAGGGAGTCACTGCTGATCCTGTGGAGTTTGTACACCGATCTTGTTGGCGATAGCTGCTCAGAGGAAATAGACTGGGGCATTTTGGATTAAACCTAGCGCAGTGTCAATCATCTCATTTTTAAACACGGCCGCTCCCTACCCGATTGTCATACAAATGGGAGAATAATTATCCATTTTCCTTCATTACTTTGAGTTAGTATCATAACCCCTGTTATCCTCTTAATATGTTAGCATTAAAAAATAATATCCATCAAAGTTTTGATATTGTTGTGCATTTGATTACTTATTACCTGATTAAGTTTCTTTAACAATTCCTCCTTAACTGATTCATCAAGTTTAAAAAAAAATTTATTTGTATAATTGTATAATTAACTATTGTTTGCCTTTTTTCCTCTCAGGGCTTTACCTTTTCCCGTGCCTTGCAAAAATCGCAGAGAAAGAGTGAATGCCATTTGTGATTATTTACGAAATGAAAGTTTCGACATTGTTATCCTTGAGGAGGTAAGACTGAATTGATTATACAATCTGAATTCATGTTTTTTCTTTTCAGTTCTCTTGTTCTGTATGTATATGTGTGTGTATATGTGGAGGGTTGGGGGGGGGGGTTGATTTACATGACAAACTTTTCTTACCTTTCTGTGCCCTATCTGTTGTTATGCTTTTCCACTATGTTCCAGTTTTTTTTTTTGTTTTTTTTTAAAGTGATAACATTGCTGGGCAGTTCAGGTAAATGGAAGAAGAGAAGAGTAAGTAGAGTTTGCCATAGAAGTTAATTTCTTAACAACTTGTAGAAGTTAATCTCTTTAGAATTTGCCATATACGTTAATTTCTTTAGAAAAGGTCGTACAAGTTTATTTCTTTATAATTTGCCCTATGTATTAATATGTTGATGATTGTTTATTTTCTTTCTGTATTCATAGATATTCAGCTGCTCTTCAAAGACTAAAACAACTTAATAAATTAGGGAGGGGGACAGACAGTACTACAAAAATGTGATTTCTCAGAGCATGCATGCATCTTTCCCATTGCAACATACGGCTGTGAGATCTGGACACTTACTAAACAAGTTGAACAGAGCATAAATGCCTTTGAATACAAATATTATAGACAGATTCTAAGAATATCATGGGTAAAGAAAAGAACAAATGCATCCATACTTCAGGAACTGAATACTGAAGAGGGTTGGCTATTAAAGACGATAAAACACAGAAAATTGAAATATTTTGGTCACTTGAAACATCACGAAAGTTTAGAGAGAAAATAATGGAGGAGTATATGCCTGTGAAGAGAGGAAGAGGAAGGCCAAGGAGAAGATAGGTGCAGGACGTGGCAGATGATCTCCACAGATGGGTGTATCGGATGTGGGACATCTTGCTTGTGATCGAGAAATTTTCCTGGGGGTTATGGAAACAAGGTTCTGCAAAGGACATGCCACTGACTGACTGACATTCATTGATACCTTTGTCTCGCACTGAGGTAACAACTGTAGGAAGAGAGGAAGAATAAAAGTTTGTCTTACATTAATAATTTGTTTAGAATTTGTCTTAGACATTTAAAAAAAAGATGGGCTTTTTTTATTCTTATACCTGTATTCATTGGTACTTGTGTCTGAAATTAACCTTTTGCCATTGAATTGTGTTGTAGGGAGAAGGTCCTTAACCCATAAATTCGCTAAAAATCTTTTAAAATACAACCACCTTACACAGATCATTCATAAATAAAAAAAAAATAAAAAAAGAATTAATAATTATAAATATTTTCAGAAATCTACAAATGAAAGTATCAATAAAAAGCTCTGAAGTGGATAATTAAATGGAATATATTCACTAGGCTTTCAAAATGTATACAGTGACCCCTTCCATGACCGCTTTACTGAGTGACTACTTTTGGCTAACGGCAGATTATTATGTCATAATTTTGAAAATAGCAATTATTTTCACCATAAGCTATTTTCAGTAAATATAATCATATCCAGTAAGCATCTGTGGCATAGGTGTTGCGAATGCGCTTCGTAATGCCGTGGTGTCAGGTTTTATCCCTGCTGTGGACGATTTGTCTTGCACTGGTTTTGACAGTGGTATCAAGAGCTGACTGTTCAGAGAGCAGTGGCAAACTACTGAACATAAAATTTGTCTAGAAGAACCACCACAGCCAAAAAATGCTGGGGTTGGTTTTGCAACATCCTGTAAAGGATACGCAACTAACTAATCATATCCAGCCCTCCTAAATACTGTGTTAGCCCAAAGAGAACCAATATCACTGGTTTTGTTGGGGACTGGCTTGTGCAGTAAAGCTGCTCTGTTAGCTTTACAGGAATTTGTAATGAACATGAAGCCGAAATATCTGCTTCACATGGGAACGAGTAATGGTGAATGGAGAGGAATTTGTTTAACAAATGAATGTCTTCAGAATTTGACTTACACATGAATTTTTCTATTCTACAACCTGTGATCATTGTACTTGTGCCTGACAGATCTGGGTGAAATCTGACTTCCAGAAGTTGAGAGACAAACTTCAGATGAAGCTTCCCTTTTCTCATTATTTCTACAGGTAGATATTAAATATGTTTGTTCCTGTGTGGACTCCAGGGCCTTATTGGGAAAAGGGAGTATACCAACATAGCTATGAACTACATCACAACATGGTAATAACCCTTTTAAAGGGTGAATGAAACAGAAGAAGAAGAAATGCATATTTAATAACTTACTCATCATGTGCCATGTTTATAAACATGGGTAGCCATGGTTCGCTATCTCACACATTCATCAGTTGCGGATCATGTGTATTTTGGATGTATACATAGATGAATGTGTGTGTGCTAAATCTATGTGTGTAAAGATGTCTGTTGTCATTGTTTTCTACCTGCTTTGTTGCCCCTTTTGTTGTTTTTTGTTTTCCAACACTTCTACCTCTTCTAAAAGCCAAATTAATGCAGTGGTTAGACTCTAGCCTTCTGTCCTGAAGATCTTGAGTTCGAATCTACATCAAGAAATATTTTTTTTTACAACCTATCTCATGGGTGTCTGTAGAGGGGAAGAAGAAAAGAGGCAGACCAAAGGGATGTGGATGTAGAATTCAGCTGAATGGACACACCTTAGACATATAATATCAAATCCATTGCATCTGACCAACAGAGTTTGAGGGAGCTGATCAGACAGTCAGCAGCAACTGGTAACCCAGCAGCACATGGTGATGTGGAATGATGATTGTTTCAGGTTGACCCAGTCTCAAGTAGACACCAGGTCCTGGGAAGTAAAGGTGCCTGGCATGATGGTGACCTCATTACCTGTTTTTGAGGGCTGGGTAGCCTGTAGAAATATGAAACTAACACAATATGCCAGATGTCCTATTGACCCGTAAAGGGTCCTAATATTTTATTCCACCTTTCCATTAATTTGAGGCTTCATTCATGTTGTTTGATGATATTTGTGGACTATTTCTGAATTCTTATGTTTTTTCTGTAGCAATGCATTCTTGAATCATAAGGGCTAACAGAGTGCATCATCAATGCGAATCATGGGCAGTTGGCCGGTTGCTGAAATGTTATGTGGAAGCACAAAGATGTGGGTTTATAGACAAATAATGAGACCATCCTGGACAGATAAAAAGGGTAATGACAGAAACTCATGCACAAGGAGAATTGGTTGCCCACATTAGAAGTAGACAATCTACTGTCATGAGAAGGAGCAAACAAGTACATTGTGATGGTGGGAAAAGAGGCATAGGGAGCCCGAGAGAGAAGATGCTAAGCAGTTTGACATCATGGCATTGAAGATCATCTGTGTCAGAACTCATCAAAAGTACACGAGTCAGAAGGTTGTGGGAAGACATGACTACAAATGCCACATGGCATGGACTGTAAGAAGAAGAATAGGCTGCAAAATTGGGCCGTAGAGAGAATGGCTGATAATAGAGAAACAAAAACTGTACACAAAAAGTTGAATCGGAGTGACCCACAAGGCAGATGAAGAAGATGATAAAGAGGTAATATTCAGGTAGGCCTGCAAACATTTGGTGTCGCTAGTGTGAAAGTGAAGGCCAATCAGTCAGAGAGTATCACCAAGTGGAAAGAGAGGGCCATTCAGAGAGATGAATGGAGGTTGGTGATTTCTGCAACAATAAACCCCAGGGGCTTGAAGTTCTGTAGAATAAGAAATATTCTTGAAACATACGTGATACCATCCCCAAATGTTGAGACTTATCAGTGTTTATATATACCTTTAATCCAGTGGTTTAAAAAAAAATATATTTATAATTTAATAATAATGCAAATAATTTAATAAATAAAAAATATCACCATTTCATACATAAATAGTTTTTATAATAAATAAATTTAAATTATAGTGAAAACGGTTTAATAAAAACACTTTAATAAAAATAACAATTATATAATAAATAAAGAAATAATAATAATTTGGTATAACTATAATATTATTTTTTGTAATATGCTGTATAACGTATGGTTTTTCTTAATTGATCTCTGTTTTCCCTCACAGTGGAACAATAGGAAGTGGCGTGTGTGTTTTCTCTAGGCATCTCATTGCTGAAACAATCTACCACCGGTTCCAGCTCAATGGTCACCCACACAAAATCTTCCATGGTGACTGGTTTTGTGGGAAAGGCGTCGGGCTGTGTAAAATTCATGAAGAAGGACTGGATATTAATCTTTATTGTACACATGTAAGTGTTTCAGTTAAATAGTTTATAGTAGGAACCAGGTCAAAGGGGAGAAAAGAGAGAGACACCTTGGTCATCCAGGTTGGGGGTTGAAGTCAGCAGCAGTGAATCTCAAGGGCAAGACACAAACAATAGATTCACTCATTTGCTTTATTTATGTAATTGTTACTGTGGTATGCACCTGACGAGATACAGCAAAATATGCCAGGCAATAAATTGTGCAATTTATTGTTTGTGTCTTCTTTGTTTAAATAATTTGATAGTTGTTCCTGTTTCTTCAGAACAAATTCTTTCCCAATGATGTACCATATACATGTTTATCTGTATATGTGTCAACATTTTGGCCTTCTTGGTGCATTCCAAACCAGACAAGCTCATGTGCTGTAAGACTCCTTACCAACCACTGTATTATTATATATTCCATAAAGAACAGTAAAAATTGTGAGCAGTCAGGGTGGAAAAACTAATTTTACTGATAACTTTTAATATGTCAGAGAAGTGTCATTCTCGTGTAACTGCACCTGCAAAAGAAATATAATTCCCATAGTTGGGAATGCTGAAGGAAGTTCTAGAGCAGTGCAGTGTTGAAGGAAACATCTTTATTTGTAAAAGTCACAGATAGATACATTTATGAAAGTAGTTTGTACAAATGAAAAAATACAGACACATAAAACACATAATTAATATTGATGAAAGTATCAATTTAATATTGGAATGGAAGTAGAAATTCAAGCATCCCTTTTACTTCTCCACGAATATGAGCAGACTGTACACCTGTGTCTTGACAAGACACAAGAATTCTACAGGAAATATAAAAGCATGAAGATAACAAGCAGATAAGTCAAATAATTTCTTATTTTTTCCTTAAGTTGCATGCAGAGTATAATGCTGTTCAAGATGAATATGAGGCTCACAGATTGGCTCAGGCATTTGAACTAAGTCAGTTTATCAGGTTTGTCATTGTTTCTTATTTTTCTGCAGATTTAAGTGAAAATATTTGTAGAGATTTTTTTTATCTGCTGTGGTTGAATTAGATGTATCCTGGAGACCTTTTTCTTCTGCCATTTTTCTGCCATTGGAGCATAAGCTCTCTACCTACTCATGTCAAGTCATACTATACTTTGCTATTGCATGAAGCTGTATGTCCTCCCTAACTTTTTAATTTCACTCTCTTATTCATGGTTTTTTTTGGGGGGGGGGAGGGGGGGGGTGAGGGGTTCTTGTTGGTCTGCCTTTATTTCTATAATGATATTACAACTTAGCTGTAAACAACAGAACACACTATCTTCGTAAATAGGTTTGTTTATTATCTTCAGATATTTAAATGTTTATCTTCAGAGATAGATACATTTATTAACTTTATAGATAAATTATTTTATTATCTTCACAAATAGTTTTTTTTATTATCATCAAAGATAGATATATTTATCATATTCAGAGACACATATGTTAATTGGCTTCCGAAATATATATCTATTTAATATCTTCAAAAGTAGATATATTTATTATATTCCAAGATAACTATATTAAATTTTTTCCAAGGTAGATATATTTATCATTTTCCTAGATATATTTATTATCATCAGTCATAGATGTATTTATTATCTTTAGAGATAAATGTATTCAGTGTTTCCACTATGCTTACCAGATCAACATCAGTGGACTGTGATGCCGTCATCCTGGCTGGAGATTTAAACATTGCTCCCAAAAGCCTAGGCTACAAAGTGGTTACCCACTATGCTCACCTCCAGGATGCGTGGGCTGAGAAGGTATGGTAGGGTTGACCGCCTCCTGGGCATGTTACTACATAAATAGAGGGTGTGAGATGTGATCATCGTGTTTAAAAAAAATTTAAAGCACCATTTCATACCATCAGCAAATCAGGCAGTTGGTGCTAGATCCATATTTGTATGGACTAATTGGCACTCAGCAGCTGATGTGGTCAGCATCACGCTGACTGTCTTTATTTCCTCAAAAATTTCCTTGTACTTGTGCTCATTTTAGGTTTTGTTGATCTGAAATTCCTAGGTCGATTAGAAAAATATCCCAGTGTGGATTTCAACTCAAGACCTTCATGTATACAGACAAGAGTCAAGCCACTGTCTATATGGCTCCCAGAACTTTTTTGTATAGTGAAAAAAAATGTTTAGTAAATAGTTTTTTTTGTTTACATTTTTTTAAGAGGTGCAAGAAGGAGGCCATATATCTTATAGACAGGTGACCAAGCTTTAGTTAAACCCCACGTAAAATAGGTGCTGGGAGTTGACACAGAAATGCCCTAGTGGTTGGCCAAACATTTCTGTCTGTTCATGTAGTGGCTACATGATTCCATCACTGCATTGCTGCACAGCAAGGGAGACATTGTATGCAACGATTTTCTGAGTTTTAGAGCTCTCAGATTGTTGTGCATTTCTTCTAATTCTATCTGAAAAGACTTTCTTAACCATTCAGTAATGAAAACCAAACTGAGAAATCAAAAGGATATTATTGCAGCACTTTATACATCAGAAACAACGCACCAACAATGCATATACAATTTTTGTTCAATCTCTAAGCCAGTGATTCTCAACCTTCCTAATACCGTGACCCTTTAATACAGTTCCTCATGTTGTGGCGACCCCCAACCATACAATTATTTTCGTTGCCACTTCATAACATCAATGAATATGTTTTGCAATGGTCTTTGGCAACCCCTGTTCAACCCAAAAAAAGTGTCGAGACCCACAGCTTGGGAACTGCTGCTCTAAGCAGCAAATAAACTGTTATTTACTTTTTTTTTCTGTTTTTGGTTAGCTGTCATTTGGTCCATGGAACAGTTTCCCCCCTTTATTTTTCTCTTCATGAGTGTAAAAAGTTGAAGAACACTGATCTAATAGATATAATTTGATTCACAAACAGATGGGGAGTATATAATTTGATGTATTTGAGTGAGAATGCCCACAGATGTGTCTTCCCTTACAAAAACAAGCATCATCATTTAGCAGGTCCTTAGCAAAACATTGCTGTCATCATGAGAGCGGGAAAAGCTTTCCTGACTCGTAAACTTTCATGCACAGGGTGTCCTTGTTATCATGTGATGTGATTCTGTGCTGATTCTTCCCCAGAATAGGGCCCAGGAATCCCCACTGGGATTTTTTTGTGTGTGTGTGTGTGCTAAAAAAGTTTAGTGTTTATGAGCCATATCCGTTTAAGTAACAAATTGTGAAGAATATCTGTATTTTTCCTATTCTTGATCCATGATACTTTAAGAATCTTCCTGTAACATTTTATAACATTTAAGTTCAGAAGCCCGGCTTTCTATTTTTTATTTTAAAGTGAGTGCAGAATAGTCTGTGACTCAGATCTGTATATTGCCATAGGAAAATGTCATGTTCTGTGTGTCTTCACTTTAAGAAAGATGTTTGCTGATGTTACACCATAGGCTCTCTCACGACAGTCAAATACTCATACTCATACTTCTCTTCTTCTTCTTCGTCTTCTTCTGCTTCTTCTTTTTCTTCTTCATTCATCCTCAAAAGAATGGTTGCCACACTGTGTTGTGGTTTATGGCTAGGCTAAGATATTTGCATTTTTCAATTCAATTTCAGCAAAAACCTAATTTGTCATCTCTTATGACATGCGTGTTTGGGTAAAGTAGGTTTATTCTTTTTTTTTTTTCTCCACAAAAAATGGGACCCCGGAATCCATATTCGGAAAAACACATACATAAAATAACACTAATATGTTTATTTTATTTATCTCAGGAAAACAAAGTATGTGATGAGTTGGCAGGAACATGTGATGTTCCATTCAACACGTACACAGGAGCAGAAGCAAAATTAAGAATTCCAAATGGCGAACGTATTGACTACATCATGTACAGTGTCAAACCAAGTAATGTGGAGATTACACTTGATTTCATTGATTATTTTGTTTTTGTTTTCTAGTATCCTGCAAAAGTTATTTGACATGCTGGTAAATTGTGGACCAATTTTATGAACATATAAGGCTGTTCGACTACTCCCTCCCCCCCCCCCCCCACCCATCCCCCACATCCAGTGCTGCCATCTAAAGGTTTGATACCCCTTTGATTCAAAGAATCATATCCTGAATGCCAATTCAGTGGGGCAGATATAGTTTATTATCTTCCAAGTTAGACAATCATTTAACTCTATTCAGCTTCCAAAGATGCAACGATTAAGACACCCATACTACCGTTTTTGGCTTAGACATTGCTACATACGAGTAATTCGCAAAACGAGCAAAAGAAATTGTAAAATAATGACTTCTTTAACGAGCGGCGTTTCGCATAACGAGTGGCAAGGAGAGAGGAAGTCCCGGACCTACAAGATTACCTCCCTGAAGAATTTAAGTTCATCAATATCCAATTTCTGCCTCCCAACACCACTCCGTTACTCCAGCCCATGGACCAGCAAGTTATTTCTAACTTTGAGAAGCTCTACACTAAAGCACTCTTTGAGCATTGTTTTCAAGTGACTGAAGGGACCAACCTCACTTTTAAAGAGTTTTAGAAAAATCACTTCCACATCGTTGCCTGCCTCAAGATGATTGACAAGGTGGGGGAAGGGGTTACCAAGAGAACCCTAACTTCCTCTTGGAAGAAGCTTTGGCTGGAAAGCATTGTCGATTTGTGACTTTGGGGGTTCGAGACAGTACCTGTGGAACCTTTAGTCAACGATATTGTGTCTATGGCCACTATCATGGGATTGGAGGTGGATAACAGTGATATCGAAGAGCTTGTGGAAGAGCACAGCCAAGAGCTGACCAACGAAGAGCTTATGGAGTTGCATTGTGTTTCGCAGCAAGAAGTTTTGGAGGAAAGATTGTAACAGGAGGAGGTAATAGAAAAGCAACAATCTTCTGGTGAATTAAGAGAAATGCTGAAAGCATGGCAAACTATTGCATCTTACATTGAGAAGCATCACCCTAATAAGGAAGTGGCTATGCGTGCTGCAAATTTATTTAATGATAATGCTTTATCACATTTTTGCCAAATTTTGAAGCGTCTGCAAAACAAAAAGTCTCTGGACATCTTTCTAGTAAAAAAATTATTATCTATTTATCATAATTATTTCGACCTTTTTTTTGTTGTTTTCTGCAAATCTTATTCGCATTCCAGGTGGGTTCATTTCACATTTGAAGAAAAGATGAAGATGATTCACTCTCCTTAATAATATGTATATAATTTTCTTTGAATAAATGTTATACACAGCATTTTGTGAGTATTTTTTTCTACATGGAACGCATTATTGTATTTTATATTAATTTATATGAGAAAAATATTTTCACATGAGTGTTTCTCTTAATAAGTATGATTCTGGAACAAATTATGCTCATTAAGCGAGGTTCCACTATATATATATATATATATATAGAGAGAGAGAGTAAACCACATTTACAGACTTGATGCCATTACAGTAATCCTAATTTTTTTTCATACCCAGACATTCCTGATTCTGTTTACAGATTGCAAAGCTACAGTTACTGATTGCCAGATTGGCATTGGAAAGATTCCTGACCTCAACATCAGTTACTCGGATCATGAAGCTGTTATGGCCACGATCAATATCAGCAGGGTTGAAGGTAAGAAAAATGAAGTTATAATGAGGTTATAATTCATTATGGCTATGGTCAGTATCAACAATGTTAAAGGTTAACATAATGTGCCTTGCTGATAAGCATAAATGGTCACATTAACAGGTCAGTGCTCTTGTCTCATCCCATCCATAGGGCCAATCCATACAGGTCTTTATCTCATTGACTTTCCCTTGCTCTGTTTCCATCAATCTTGCTAGTTATAACTAAGTTTTTGAACCCATTCCTTACAATGGATTGAGGAAAAAAAAAATGATTGTCTGCATCTATTTTCTGTTATCAGTTTAGAGTTTTCATAAATTTCCCTAATCAGTTTACAGTTTTTATCTGTTTCTAGGAGGACTGCCTCATGGTATTCTATGCGTTCTTCACAAAAACCACATCTTCACAGCAAGTAAATATTTGTAGCCTGTCTGTTTATCGTCCATGTCTTGCAAGCATTTAACAACACAGGTTCTATATAGTATTTCAGCACTTTGTCTGACAGCAGTTGACATTTTTTATTGGTTTCTTTTGCATCTCTCAAGGCAAACTCTGCCATTAAATTTTTTGTTCTGATCTGTGCAAGGCATCTTGCACAAGATATTTTGACTATTTGAGATTGAATAAAAGTAAAGGACCTTTTTCCACACTTTCAGGCGTATAGGGCTAGACCTCTATTTTATAGACCAGTCGGTACAAGATGGGTGATGTGGTCAGCATCACGCCGGCTGCCTCTACTTCCCGGGACTGCACCCGGTACCCACCCAAAGTGGGGTCGACCTGGGAGCCAAGGTAATTTTTTTTTTAAAGTCCAGCTCCGACAGGGAGTAAACCTACGACCTTCCGATCGTTGGTGAGCATCTAGCCGCTCCACCATGGCGACTCCCCTGAGATGGAATAGTTAACTGGAAAACATATATTATTTTATGATACTGCCCCAGCTGATTTGTTTTTATTTGTATTTTTTTCACTTTGTGTATTATTTCAGAAAATCATCCTAGAAAAATGAGGTCAGCTCTCAGCAAAGAGGTCAAGGACAGTCTGCAAGAAACATTGCAAGTTCTAGACAAGGGAGTTAATCAGTGCTTGAATGAGGAGAAATTTTTTCAGGTGAAGTATTGACTGGTACAGTTTTAAAATGAGTTTTAAGAAACATCATGGGAAGTAAAAGTGGCTGATGTGATATTGAGTGCTAATTTATCTAGAAATGTATTATTTCTACAATAAATGTTGGCTGCAGTGGACCAATTTATTTTTGGTTCGAAACTGACAAATCATCCAGATTTAAATCTGTTAATTGCAGTCGCAATTTAGTGGCAATTCTGAAATCTACCATCAAGTCATCCCTCTCGTATGATACAATTTTTTGTTATTTTGAACACCCATCCTGGCTTTTGCTGGGGTCCCTGAATATGCCAGGCCATAGATATGGCCTAATAGCTAAAAGGGGTTTCTAGGACCTCTCCACGGGTGATCCTTATCCGCATGGTGGCCCTTTGTGTAACCGGGTGTTTATTGCTTGTGTGATGTCCTGGTGGGGTACAACTACCAACCAACCAACCTGGCAATTGAATCACTCATTTGCTTTTATTTTTCATTTCTGTGCCAGCAGAAATCACACTGAATGCCTAACATTGTCCCTTGTGAGAGAATTTAAACAGACTGCAGTCTCAGCAAAGTCAGTAGTACACACAGACATTAAATGCATAAGATAACGATGATAAGTGCCAACACAAACTGTCCACCATTATAATGTCAGTTCATCATTAATCGAAACAGCCATAAAACAAATCAGCAATTGCACAAGCAACATTGCACAAGGCAACACCAATTCTGTGTCAGCAGGCCACATATCAGTTTCTGAAACTGCAGTTCACAACACAAACCACTTTGCTTACTGTAGAATCACATTCCATATTAAATATGCTGCTCACAGTGTCACACTGTGCCTTCAACTCAGTATCTGGGCAAGGGAATTATATTGTTCAAATAAAAAAACACATAGTTATCTGATGGCAAATCTTTACTAGTAGACAGAAAAGCCCATATGACACATACAAAAGAACTGTCAATGGGTTAAACTCTAAGGTATTCTTGTGTGCAATTTGAAAAGTTTTCCTCATTTAAATTACAAAGATTCTGAATTTGAATATTATGAGAAACTTCCTTTTTTTTTTTTCCAGGAGCTATACGGTTTTTCTTTATTGAATGGTTTACATAATTTCAGTCCACATATAGAAGAAAATACAGCTAGTTGTGGTCAGAAGAAAATAACTTGCCAAGACTACAACAGCTTGTTGCCTATGCACCATACTGGACTTTCTCTGCCTATCCACCATACTGGACTGGAAGTACACAGTTAATCAAAGGCTAAAGTTTAATTAAGGGAAACAATATCTTTTATAAAAAAATTATGCATGGTAGAATGGAGTAGGGGAATAGACTGTGAGCTTTATGAGGCATGCCAATGACACATCTTGATGATGATAGGTTACAAGGGAAATGAGTAGATATTACACTATCTTTAGATGATATCATGTGAATGGCACTACATGAGGATAATTGGTTACAAGGGAAATGAGTAGATATTACACTATCTCTAGATGATATCATGTAAATGGCCTTACATAAGGATGATTGGTTACAAGGGACATGTTTGATATTACACTATCTCTAAATGATCACATTTAAATGGCACCACACGAGGATGATTGGTTACAAGGGAAATAGTAGATATTACACTATCTCTAGTTGATATCATGTAAATGGCACCACATGAGAATGATTGGTTACAAGGGAAATGATTAGATATTACACTATCTCTAGATGATATCATGTAAATGGCACCACATGAGAATGATTGGTTACAAGGGAAATGATTAGATATTACACTATCTCTAGATGATATCATGTAAATGGCATCACATGAGGATGATTGGTTATAAGGGAAATGATTAGATATTGCACTATCTCTAGTTGATATAATGTAAATGGCACCACATGAGAATGATTGGTTACAAGGGAAATGATTAGATATTACACTATCTCTAGATGATATCATGTAAATGGCACCACATGAGAATGATTGGTTACAAGGGAAATGATTAGATATTACACTATCTCTAGATGATATCATGTAAATGGCACCACATGAGGATGATTGGTTTCAAGGGAAATGATTAGATATTACACTATCTCTAGATGATATCATGTAAATGGCACCACATAAGGATGATTGGTTATAAGGGAAATGATTAGATATTGCACTATCTCTAGTTGTTATCATGTAAATGGCACCACATGAGAATGATTGGTTACAAGGGAAATGATTAGATATTACACTATCTCTAGATGATATCATGTAAATGGCACCACATGAGAATGATTGGTTACAAGGGAAATGATTAGATATTACACTATCTCTAGATGATATCATGTAAATGGCATCACATGAGGATGATTGGTTATAAGGGAAATGATTAGATATTGCACTATCTCTAGTTGATATAATGTAAATGGCACCACATGAGAATGATTGGTTACAAGGGAAATGATTAGATATTACACTATCTCTAGATGATATCATGTAAATGGCACCACATGAGAATGATTGGTTACAAGGGAAATGATTAGATATTACACTATCTCTAGATGATATCATGTAAATGGCACCACATGAGGATGATTGGTTTCAAGGGAAATGATTAGATATTACACTATCTCTAGATGATATCATGTAAATGGCACCACATAAGGATGATTGGTTATAAGGGAAATGATTAGATATTGCACTATCTCTAGTTGTTATCATGTAAATGGCACCACATGAGAATGATTGGTTACAAGGGAAATGATTAGATATTACACTATCTCTAGATGATATCATGTAAATGGCACCACATGAGAATGATTGGTTACAAGGGAAATGAGTAGGTATTACACTATCTCTAGACGATATCACTTTACCACATTTATTTACTAGTCTATAAACAAAATTATATTTTCATAGTATTCAGCTGCTCCAGCATACTAAGAGAAGTACAATCTGAGGTTAAACAGTCACACGAAGGACCGGATAACTCATTAGATGGGTCCATTAAAAGAACATCATAGATCGGATCTATTTTCATATATCAGATATACTTTTATGGATGCTCACTTGAATGTCATGGAAGGTCATGTTCTGCCTGTGCTTTTCTTTGAGGTCAGCAGGTTTGTGGGGGCTGTGTGGTCTTGAGGCATGTTGTCCGCCTCAAGTGCTAAAGTTCTGGGTTCAATCCCCGGTAAGGGCTGGGATTTTTCACATGGACTTGGACTTCTAATAATTCCCCCTGGTCTCTGGATAGTGAGATCGGACACCTGTGTCCATTGTTGCGCACGTGAAGAAATCCCTTGACAGTTGGAAATCGAAAAGAGTAGCCTGGCGGTGCTGCCTTGGCAAAATTTGGAGTTAAAAATCTACCCAAAGTATTTCAGGATCCTCGCTGGTGCTACAGAGCCTTGCACTGAGCTGAGCTTCTTTGGACTCAAGACAAGTTGGAAGAAGAATGGAGCACTGATGGGTTACTACCTGTGGGCCATGATGTTGATCTGTTGTTCACACCTTAAACCTCAGCAGGTTTGTGACTTTTGTGGACTTGCTGGATACACCCTATAGTTGAGTCACTTATGTGAGATATGGTTGCTCTACTGCAGACAGACCCCACATATCATCATCCTGGTGTGCCATTATGTGTCACATAATGCTCACAGTCCAGTCCTTCCTTCCATTCTATCCGATGTAATCCTGTCGACAAGAGTACCCAGAATTTTTTATTTCTCTCTGCAGCATTCATCTCAGGGCTTCTTTTGGACATCCTCGTTTCCTCAGTCAATTTGTTTCCCATTCACTGCCTGTTTGTTAATTCTCTGTCCGTTTCTCCTCTTGTTGTGCCCAGTATATTGCCTTCTTCTTTGTCTTTTAACTGATTATACAAGCGGTTTTCCAGACATTTCTCTTATTTCTTTGCCTTCTTGAATTCATCCCCATTTAATGCTCCTAAATTTCCTTAGGCATTTGTTTTCACGTGCTTTTAGGCACACTGCAGCTATGTCAAAATGTATGCCTGAAGTGAGCCGTGACAATGGGTTCCTAATTTTGTTGTATATTTCTGTCATTCCACAGGTGGTGGTGTTTCTCCTGTCCTTCATCTTATATTTTGTGAATTCCTACGTAGATGCAGAATCATACAACAATATTATAGTGGCTTTCACCCTGGCAACTGCAAAACTGTTCCTGGCTTTTGCTGTTGGCTTCTCTGTATGGACAGCACTCATCCTCAAACGAGGAGAATTCCATGCACTGATTGCTTGTAAAGAGGATATAATGAAGCTGCTGGGAGTTTAACAACTTTTATGATATTTATCCCACCGTAAACTTAAATATATATTGTGATTATTTTTTCTTATTCCCCTCTCTGAGACTACATCCTGAAGATTTGACTACGAGTGGCTCAAGTGACTAACAAATTCCTGATGTCTTGTTCAGCTGTAATGTATTTATGTTGTGTGGTTTTTTGTGTGTTATGTATTATGTTTTGTGTGGGTTATATTTTGTGATGTGTTTATGTGGATGGGGTTTTATTTTGTGATGTATTTTTTTTGTGTGTGGGTTATATTTTGTGATATATTGTGTTATGTGTAATTGTATTTTGTGATATATTTGTGTTAAATGTGGATTGTATTTTGTGATGTATTTATATTTTATGTGTGGATTATATTTTTGTGATGTATTTATGTTTTGTATAGATAATATTTTGTGATGTATTTACTAGGGAAGTCAATAGGTAAGTCACAAATGGTTATGGGATGGCAGGAAAATGTAATTGGTGGTTTCTAAAGGTGTCTTTAGATGACAGCAACATCAAACTTTATGTCTCTGTTGGTTTTGTGGCGCTAAATGTTGCATGCATATTCGCAGTACAGAAACAAAATGGCAACTGTACTTACGAAGTGTACCTTCAAAAAACAACATTCTGTTGTGCATGGTTTTCTTTTGGGGGGTGGGGGGGGGGGGGGGATTCATTAAATGCTTCCTTTTTATGCTGACAAATAAAGCAGTGTATAGCTGGGTTAAAAAAAATTGTCTCAAGGAACTCTAAAATTGTTTATGAAGTCTGATCTAGTTGTCATGTTAAGATTGCAACAGATGCATCCATGCAGCAGGTGGAAGTGGTGAAAAGAGGTGACAGGCAAGTAGCAGTTGACTTTGTAGCAGCTGCAGTAGGGTGCTCACATGGTTCAGCATACAACACAATGCATGATCAGTTAAAAGTTTGCCTATGGTGGGTACCCAGACAATTGATGGACGAACACAAAATGAACAGATTAGGCCTGTACTTGCAGCTTCTCTTTGGATACGCAGATGAAGAAGAAGACATGCTAAACAGGATTACACTGGGGAAAAACCCTGGGTGCATTACTGCCAGCCCAAATCAAAGCTTGCTTCAGCTCATGGAAGCATCCTTCTTCACCGTGTGTTCAAAAATTCAAGGTTATGCCATCAGCAGGGAAGGTTATTCTGACAGTGTTCTGGGATTGTCAAGGAGTATTTGTAACCAATTTAAAAAAGAAAAATGTGATTGTGTGAATCTGATTCATACTGTAGTTTTATCGATGCTTCATGATCTAATTCAAAGAAAACGTGCAGGCCTGCTGACTAGACCAGTACTGCTCCTTTATGAAATGCCAGACCACATACGGCTCGGTTAGCTCAGCAGAAAATTAACCATCTAGAGTAGGAACTTCTGGAACATCCATCTTACAGCCCCAACTTAGCCCCTAACCACTTCCACCTCTTTAGTCCACTAGAAGCCCAACTTAGCAGGAGACATTTTGTGAATGAGGCAGAAGTTGAATGTGAGTACAAATGCAGTATAGAAAACGGAGCACGCACTTCTGTGCAGCAGGTTTGGGAGGACTGATAAAATGATGTGATAAGCGCATGTTGGTGGAAATTATGTTGAAAATCAAAGGGACAGTATATATGTAAATATAAACAGTTTTCAAGTTGTTGTCATCTTTATTTTTTTTTTTTTAAACAACCATTTGTTGGATACTTATTGTCTTCCAATTTATGTTTTGTATGTAGGTTATATTTTTGTGATGTATGTATGTTTTGTGTGGGTCATATTTAGTGATATATGTATGTTGTGTTTGGGTTATATTTACATGTTAAACATGATTGCTGAAGGCGCTTTGAGCATGTTTTAGAAAAAATAGAAACTGGACAACTTGAGGAAAATAAAGAACAGATAATAACCTGGATGGATTGACCACACGAATTAACAAGGAATATAACGGACCTTGCATGAAATTTGTATAAATGTATGAGATTTTTAGTGGATAGTAAAGTAAGTAAAATTGAAGAACCCTTTTCTGCGCCTTCAGACATGTTGGGCATATAGGGCTAGACCTGAATTTTATAGACCAAAAAGCTCTCTACCGTAGTTGGCTAAACCGAATTGCACGGAGACCGGGTGACGAACTCCTTGTGTGGTCCGGATTCAGTCTCGGGGGTAGGCAGGAAAGCCACATTTTCTCCCAGATTTATACGGTATTTACAATGGAATCAAGGCCGAAAGGTTGCAATATCCATAATACCGAGCCTAAGGGTTAACAACTCATGGCTTCTGGATACTAAAACAAACAAACAATAGACCAATAAGAAACATGCCAGTGTTTGTCATCCATATTTTGTTGCATGAAAACACTGTTTGCGAATCAGTTGTTGTTCAAGAACACTGCCTATATTTACCACTGTTGGGGGGGAGGGGGGGGGGGGGGGGGGCGAGTCTAAAGCTTTCAGACCGTATGGTGAGTGCTGTTGTGACGGACTGTGCAGGTTAGGATTTTATTTTTTCCCCGACAGACAAAATATCCACAACCATAATGGGGATTCTAGCTTGCCTGTCCCGCTTGAGTCCAGTGTTTTAACTGATGCTCAGGTACACTACACCTTTAATATTTCAGTTCTTTGTCTTGTGTTCTAAAAGATGTGGGTTTGCTTCCACTCCATCGTTTAGTTCACCGAGGATGATATTTAAGGGGGAGGGGGGATGTAGAGGTTAATTTAGAGGTCTTTGCTGGAAGTACAGATTTAATGCATCACTCTCAGCGGATGACCAGCCACTCTGAAGAGAGACTGAGCTGTTTAGAATTGAAACCAAGTGCAGTGAAGCTGATTTTTTTGCCTTTACACACCTGGTTTTATTGTTATTGTATTCAATGTATGCAGGGTCCAGATTATAAGTCACTTTGTATATAATCATTTATGAACTATTGCTTGTTGACTATGTCTTGTAATTGAAATGCAGACTATATCTTGTCTTTGAAATGCACAACTTTTATTTCCACTTATAATTTACCAATTCAGTGTGTTGCCGTGTTCATATTAATCAAACAAATATGTTCTTATATCTTCTTCTTGTATGTGATATGCATGGGTCCCTTTTCCTTGGTGTAACTTTCCTGCACAAAAATGTATATAGGTATATTGTTCTGAAAACTCGGGAGTCGATGGAAATAAGAGCGCAGATTGATTGGCTTCTCCTCCTTCCATCTTTTCTTCTTCAGGAGAAATGTAGGAGTCTGTGGAAGTGAAGGAGTCTGTGACAATGAAAGTGAAGTTTGACAATCTTTTTCTTCTTCACCTACTCCTTTATCTTCTTATCCTTCAAGAAACATGCAGAAGACTGATAATGAAAGGGGAGATTGATTGCTGTTTTTTCTTCTTCTTCTGTTTCCTCTCCTTTGTTATTCTTGTTCTTCTTCAGGAGACATACATGCGTTTGTGGCAGTGAGAGGATAGACTGATTTTTTTTTTTTTTTGTATGTGCTTTTTTTTCTAGATTTTTCTCTAGATTGTTTTCGCTTTGGCTTTGTTTTTCTTGTCCTCTCCCTCTCTCCTCTTGTTCGTATTCTTGGCAAAGGACTGAATGGCTTTCTGGCGTATTGTGATGAGAATGACATTTCTTCAAAGGACCTGCCACATGATTGTGGCATTTTAAGGGTTGACCAAGCCATACAAAAAGAATCCAGGCATTTTTTTTTTTGTAAATTGTCTATGAATTGTCTACAAAGGAAGATAATGATGAAGGACACTGACCACTCTGTGTCATTATGTCACCACCTATTTCACACACAAGTATTCAGTCTACAATAAAACTGTGTGTGTGTGTTAGTACATGCATCCACGTGTTTGTGTAATAATGCATGCATTCATTTATGTGAGTGCACTTATCCATGGTTGTCTGAGTGCATGTGTATGTATGAGTGCATGTGTATGTATGAGTGCATGTGTATGTATGAGTGCATGTGTATGTATGAGTGCATGTGTATGTATGAGTGCATGTGTATGTCTGAGTGCATGTGTATGTATGAGTGCATGTGTATGTATGAGTGCATGTGTATGTATGAGTGCATGTGTATGTATGAGTGCATGTGTATGTATGAGTGCATGTGTATGTATGAGTGCATGTGTGTATATGAGTGCATGTGTATGTATGAGTGTATGTGTATGTATGAGTGCATGTGTATGTCTGAGTGTATGTGTATGTATGAGTGCATGTGTATGTATGAGTGCATGTGTATGTATGAGTGCATGTGTATGTATGAGTGCATGTGTATGTATGAGTGCATGTGTATGTATGAGTGCATGTGTGTATATGAGTGCATGCATCTATGCACACATATAAGAGACAGGAAAAACTTATTGTGGTTTGTGGACATTTAACATGTTATTTAGACTTTTGCATTGTAAACATATTACCACCTTATCTGCCCATATGTTTACACATGGTTTGTTATCTGTTATTATATTTGTTGAACAATATCTAAGAATTTTACCATATCGCGATATTGACTAAATCAAAAGTTTATGTAATTTGGGTATTTCATTTATTAGTCATTTTCTAGTTTAATTATGATTGTAATGGGAGCTGCAGTGACCTAATTGATATACACTTGTCTACCGGCTCAGTGGTAAAGGATTTGAATCTGACCCACAACAAAAACAAAAAAAAGGTTTGATGAAAATTGACCTTGACTTCCAGAATGACCCAGTCTAAAATAGATACCAGATAATGTTCTGGGAAGTAAAGGTGATCACTGTACCATCCACTGAGTGCCAGTTGGTCATGCAAACATGAGTCTGATATCTTATGTATGCCTGATGCGCCATTGGCATAGAGAAGAGCTTTTGCTTACTTTATATGTTTTTAGTTCCATATTTGAGTTCTGGGGCCACATTATGGGGGGGGGGGGGGGGAATAGACCCACTGCTACCCTAACAATCATGTCACCGAAAGCGACTAATTAGTAGTGACTTCTGGGCTGTATGGAGGATAG